TAAAGAAAAAGAAAAGAATACACAAAAGGAAAAAGAAAGGAATAAACAAAAGGAAACGGAAAGAAATAAAGAGAAGGAAAGGAATAGAGAAAAGGAAAAGGAAACGAATAGAGAAAAGGAAAGGAATATACAAATGGAAAAAGAAAGGAATACAGAAAAAGAAAAAGAAAGGAATACAGAAAAGGGTAAAGAAGAGGAGATAGAAAAGGAGCAGACGAAAGAAAAAGAAGGAAGGGATAAACATGATAAGAAAGAGAAAAACGATTCTCAAGACACACAATATACGAAAGATAAGAACACTGAACATTTTGCCATTAATAACATAAATTCATGTGTTCAAAACAATAAAAATGTTTTAAAAAATTGCACAACTTCAGAAGAGAAAAATCTTCCGAGTGCACTTGATATTATCACAGGTCGTTGGACAAGAAAGGATGGTTTTAAAAAAAGTGAAATTCATCATCAAGGTCTTCCAAATCTCCAACTGATATGTAAGTCCGAGTTTAATAAAACAGCTAATTCGAAACAAACCAAAACATGTAATTTAGAGAACAAACGAAAACAATCATTGACCATCGAGTAAAGAAAAAACAAAAATTACTCACAATCAAAATTCGTTGTATTTCTCATTTTTATGAATATTTTTTTTTTTTAAATTCATAGACGCAAAGAAAACTGTTTTTATTTAGATTAAAAACGATTTAGATTTTTAGAAAAAAATGACCAAAAATGAAAATTTTCGGCATTATGATAATTTCTATCATTAGGATTATTATATTCTTATTCGTATTATTCTAGCAAAATGTTTAAGAATTTTTTTTCAAACTAAGAGTTATTTTAAGGCAACTATAAAGATTCAAAGAAAACAATATAGTATTACGACAAAAATGTGACAAGAAATATTAAAAAGAAGTATTTAATAAGTTGTATAAATAACCAAAGAAAACGTATAGATATAGATGTATATACAAAAAAATTTATATTTTAATAACTCGACTAAACAGTATAAAAATTGTAACATTTTTTAAAAATTTTTTCAACGAAAAGATATATTGAGAAAAAAGAAAAAAGTATGTTTGTTAATTTTATATACTTTGAAAGATTTAATAAATAATATTTTATAAAAAGAAAATTTTGCTCTTTTATTGTGTTTTTCTACGTATACAATGGGAAAAAAATTACTTGTCAATTATGAAATAATTATTTGATTCTATTGATTATTACAGGGCTCGAAGCAGTGAAAGTATTTAAAAATACGGACTTTACGGACCAAAAATTAAAAATTACGGACCATTTACGAACCGATTGACAAAAATAAAATCAGGCCGAATCAAATAAAAGAATATTTTACTTAAAACTAGAAATTCAATTTTTCATAACTATAAAACATGAAGAAATCGATAACTCCGAGTCTCCGACTCGAAGTTATCGATTTCTTCATGTTTTATAATAATTAATAATAATTATTAATAAAAATAATTTATAATAATTAAAATCATTATCAATTCAATTATTATTTTTAAGAATATTTATATCTAAAATTCTTCTTTGTATCGATTATTATTTTTAATAATTTTCGAAAAAGTTCTTTGACAATTTTCAAATTCATTTCTTTACAATATTCAATTTTACGAAATTTCAATTATTCGTAAATTCTTTAATTAAATAAATATTAGAAAATAGAAACTAAAAATAATATTTAAAAAAATGAATTAAACTTTTTCAAAAAAATTAATTACAAAATTCAATTATTTTTTAAAATTCACGCTCTATTGCATTTAATATTCAATTATTATCTTAACTGAAATTCATTTTTATGAAATGAAAGTCAATTTTTATTAGAAAATTCTACTAGAATTCAATTATTTAAATACAAATTTAAATGCAAAAATGCAAATAAATAATTTATTGAATAATTGAAGGTTTCTTAAAATTCAATTCCCATAAAAAATCGTTATCAACAAATTTTCAAATAATTGAAATCTATCAACGAATTTTAATAAAATTTTTAATAATAATTACATTCTTCGAGAAATTCGATTAAAATTGTATTAAAAATAATTCAATTCTCGTAAAAAATTAACAGGAATATAATTATTTTTAAAAATTTTAATAAAATTCTTGGCATAAATTAAAAATAACAAAATTCTTAGCAGATCTTCAATTACTTTAAGAAATTTTAATAAAATTTTTCGCAAGAATTTAAATATTTTCGTAAAATAATAAAAATCTTTGTAGAGATTCAATTATTTTCAAAAGTCTTAATAAAATTCTTTGCAAGAATTCAATTATTTTCAAAAATATCAGAATTTTGGCAGAAATTCAAATATTTTAAAAAGTTTAGATAAAACTTTTTTTTTGGTAGAAATTCAATTATTTTCAAGACAATTTTAAAAAAATGTCTCGATAAAATTCAATTATTTTTAAAATTTTAATGAAATTCTTCGAAAGAATTCAATTATTATAATCAACGATTTTAACTGAAACCTATTTTTAAATCAATGTTTATGAGAGAAAATTCTATCAGAAATCAATTATTTAAATTCAAAAATAAATAATTTTTTGAATAATTGAATGTTTCTTGGAATTCAATTCGATTAAAATTCTATTGAAAATAATTAAATTCCTAAAAAGAATTTTATTATTTACGAAAATAATTGAATTCCCGTAAAAATTTTATTATTTATGAAAATAGTTGAATGATTGTGAAGAAATTTATAAAAAAAATTTGTTATTAATGAAATTCTTGTGAAATTTTTATTATTTTTTGAAAATAATTAAAAGTTTTTGTAAAATTTTATTAAATTTTTTTTTAATCAATTAAATTCTTTTGGTAAATTTTATGAAAATAGTAGATATTGAGCAATATTTAATTTTTGCGAAGAATATTATTACTTTTGAAAATAATTGAAATTTTGTAATGGATTTTATTGAAATTTTTTAAAATAATTAAATTTTGTGGAAGAATTATGCTATTTATTTATAAGGATAATTGAGATGTTTTGATCATTTTTTTTAAGATTTTTTGAAAATAATTGAATTTCGGAGAAGAATTTTAATATTTCTAAAGATAATTGAAATTTTGACGAGAATTGTTAAAAATTTTAGAACATAATTGAATTCGTGTGATAAATATTGTTAATTTTGAAAATAATTGAAATTTTTTAATGAATTTTAATAACATTTTTTAAAATAATTGAATTTTGTCGAAAAATTTTGCTATTTATTTATAAAGATAATTGAAATGTTAACAATGTTTTTTAGATTTTTTAAAAATAATTGAATTTCTGAGAAGAATTTTAATATTTCTAAAGATAATAATTGAAATTTTTACGAGAAATTAAAAAAAATTTTGAACATAATTGAATTTTTGCGAAGAACAATTTACGAACTTTTCATCCTTTTTTGAAGGAAATTACGGACTTTACGAACTTTTTTTTAAAAAACGGACTTTTACGGACTTCAAACAAATAATAAATTACTTGTCTACTATCAAATAAATGTTCATTTGAAACAAATAATTTTTATTTAAATCAAATTGAATTTAAAATTAATTGTATTTGGATAAATAATTTCATTATTTAAATGAAAATTATTTGAATTTTTCACAAGAAAAAATTGTGTTAAATTGCAGTATTCTTACAATTAAAGAAACTTTATTTGGTTAAAAATAATTGAATACTTGTCAACTATCAAATAAATATTTACTTGAATTAAACAATTTTTATTCAAATTAAATTATCTTTGAAAAAATTTGTATTTGAATTGAACAAATTAAAAATGTTAAAGACAAATTTTAAGATTGCTTTCTTATTGAATTTTTTTTCTACTTTTATCTTTTTTTCTTCTAAAAATATTAAATTTAAATGCAAATAACCAAAAATTGAAATTTTATAGCTAAAATAAATTTAAAAATAAAAATTAGATGTTAAACATTTAATTTATAAACGAAGCCTAAGAGGATTATATTGCGGAATTATCAGTCACGAGTAGTCACGAGACGCGGTTTCTTTTATTTATACTCATCCATGAGAGTGATAATAAAAAAAACGAATAATTCTTCACATGAATTATAAGATAATGAATAATATGGTTTTTGCTCCTTACAATTATTTATACAAATTTTTCAACTTTCTCTCTCTTTTTTTAAGACCATAATATAACTTGTAAGTGATATATTAAATAATAAAAACCATAATATTTATTTCCTTCGTCAACTTTTTAATAAAAAAAAATTTCAAAAGTGAAAGAAATTGACTTTAATTGCGAATTGTTTTATTCGAGATAAAAGGTATCTACATAAAAAAAATGTCTGTGTAAATAAAATAATAGTATTCTTATGATATTTTTTTGTGAGCAGTGTATACTTTTATGAAGCAAAAAGTAAAAATTTTTCGCAGTCGGTAGGACTCGAACCTACGCTCCCAGAGGGAATCTGATTTCTAGTCAGACGCCTTAACCACTCGGCCACGACTGCCACAATTGTGTAAGTATTTTGAGGAATTCATGATAACATGTGAGTCTTTGTTGACAAAATTAATGATTTCTCACCTTTTTGTATATTCGCGCACTATCTTTGCGCCTTTTCATTCAAATCTCATTATTTCAAGGCGCGCTTCATTTGAAATTATATAATTAAACTCATTATCGTCATTATCATCATTATCAGTTAATTTACCAATCTATTAATAAATATTAATTACCGATAAACAATCTCTAACGACAAAAATATACTAAAACCGAAATAATTGTTTTTCATGTACTAATATAATTTTGATATTATGAGGCCCATTATATTCTTTAATTAGGTTCATTATAATTTTTTTTAAAAAGAGAGAAAATTGATGAAAAATTTGACAAAAGAAAAATCTTTTGTTATTATTACTCTATTATTTAGTTTTAAGAATTTGTTGAAATTACTCACTCAAAAGAGGTGTTATTTCACTGCAAGACGATGAATTCATGATTGAAGAAGGAATTAATTAAAACAATTGTCGAATTTATCCGAGAGCTCTGACAGAATGCATAATCACGTCTCTTAACTTTGGAAAACTTATGTCAACTTGTGTATAAGTTTTGTTGGTAAGGCAGATATCGAGAACTATATGTATCGACGTCTGGGCTTCAAGCAATGCTTCCTTTTCTTGTAATCCATGCGCTATTGAAACAAAATTGAGACAACATTAATACAGCATTAATACAACATTACTACTAATTCATTCAAAAAAAATAAATAAATACAAAAATTTTTTATCGAAATTCAAAAAATAAGGGACATCAATAAACTACGTTACGAATTTAGGGGGGAGGGGGTCAAAAAATCTACAAAATCGCATTTAGGGGGGGGGGAAACCTAAGTAACTCACGAAAAATAGGTGTATTTTTAGGAATTTTTTTGGCTCAATGAAATGGTCAATCAGAAATCTGTAAAGTACGTTTTATTCCATGAGTATTAATTGATATATAAAATATATATTTTTTAAAAATTTTATTACAAAATGGCGGCTGTGCATCATTTTATTGGAAGGCGTCTTTCTCTTAAGGTTCCATGGCCGGACACAGAGTGGACACTTTTTTCATAAAAAAAAAAAATTCACGGTCATTTCCCGGTTTTAAATTATTTTTCTCGGTCATAAAAAATAACTCAGAAAATAAATTTTTCCATGAAAGATTGAAAGAATTTCCTGATTTTTAGAGAAAACTTTGACTTTTTCCCAAACCCTAAAAATATTTTAGTTTACTGTTACGTCACCGTAACCTATTTTCAATAAAAATATGTAGAATAATAATTAATCTTAATAATTAATAATAATAATCATATTAATTAATAATATTAATAATAATTAATAGGTAATAATAGTAATAATTATAATAAAAGTTAATAACAAAATTATTATTTACATATTATTATAAATAATAACTATAAATATTAATAATAATCAATAATAAATTGTAATAATAAACATAAACAATAATAAACTGTAATAAATAGTTAAATATAACAATCTTAACAACAAGCTTTAAAAAATAATAATAAACAATAATAAATTGTAATAATAAATAATAACAAATTTAAACAATTATAATTAACAAATTGTAACAATTAATAACAAAATTATAAAATAAGATTAGTAATAAGGGAATGTACACGTGCGATTTAATAGTGAGTCACCACAAGTGTTATCCTATAACAAAGGGTTTCTAAAAATGCATGGAAACTCGAACGATTCGTAAAATACATGAAAACTTGAACGATTCCTAAAATACAGAAAAAGTCGAACAATTTCTAAAATACACAGGCAAATTTGGGTATAAGAAGGACCAGACCATCAAACGATTTTCAGTCTAGAAAAGCAGTCAAGAAAATGTAGTCGTCAACATTATAAGTCTCAAATTGAGAAGTGGTGCTCTGCACAAGTCAGTCTTAAAATTTTATCTATAACATGTGGTTCTTCACGACACAGTGCTCTAAACCCAGTTTTAGTAGTTGTCCTTACTCTACGTATATTTCAAAAGTGCATTTTGGAAAGTCAATCTGGAAGTCAAATTTGCCATTTGAAAAGAGTGTTCCTGTTTTTCGAGACACAATACTGCATCCACTTAGTCAACCATTAACGGACTAGTGCCATTATACCTGAGCGACTAGCATCACCCTTTGTCCCAAGGTAAACAATCAACCACTCTAAGACTCACATTAGAAAGCCTATGTCCATTTTCTTATTTTCATCAATTTTATCTTATTTTATAAAATACACATATATTGGTTCAACTAAAGTAATTTCTTGTTATTTACTACCCCGTCCCTATTTTAATTAATTTTAAAATAAAATCGGGAAACATTAGGGAAATTATAATAATTAGGATCGTAACATTACTCTAAAAATAATTGAAACTCCAAAATATGTTTATAATACATTTTTTTGAATATTTTTAACTGTAAAATCATTTGGAACTTGAATAGACTTTTTGAAATAAATATTTAATGATTATCCATTATTTTTCCAAAGATATTAAGATTTCAAAAAAAAATTCAAATTTCAAATCCTTTAAAATCGAATAATTTTTAAGAATTGCTACTGTATTTTATTAAAAATTATTATCAAAATTTCAATTCAATTATTTTCTAGAAATTTTAACTGAAATATTTCTAAAATCCACTTGTTTACAAGACAATTTCGTGAGATTTTGAATAACTTGAAAGTTTTTCAATTAAATATTATATATTTAAAAATATAACTAATTTGAAAAAAATGTGTATAAAAATTTTTCAAAAAACTAACTTATTCAGAATTTTTAATTAAAATCTTTTACAATTCAACTTTTTTAAAACTTCTATTTGAAACTTTTTAAAATTCAATCAATATTATATATATATTAATTTAACATTCTAAAATAAAGAAAAAATTGCTTATGAATAATTATAAAAAATAGAATTGATATTAATGCAAAATACGGTTTTATACAAATTTATTTTCTAAGAAAAGAAATTTTCTTTATTTTTATTTATATTTTTATATTTTTTAATATTTTTATATTTATTTATATATTTCTCACTTTTGGAAAAGAAACATTACATATTCTATTCTATTTGTCAATTACAAATTTTAATTGAAAATGAAATTGAAACTTTTTAAATTTTTAGAAAATAAAGAAGAAAATTTTACTCAAAAAAAATGTTCTGTTACATTTATTTACGAATTTCTTTAATTGTAAAATTATTCGAAAACATCAATAACATTTTTTTAAATAAATATTTAAATATTATTTTTCCGTAGGAATTAAAAATTTCAAAACATTCAAATTCAAATCTTTTTAAATTCAATAACTTATAACAATGTTTTATAATAAATTAAAGATGACCGAGTGATAAAATCATTGTTTCATATTATAAGAATATTATTACAGTAACTTTCTCAAAATTATTTTCATCATTTCAAATCAATTATTATTTTCTACAATTTTTAATTATTTTTTATGAAAATAATTGAATTCCTTAAAAAAATTTTATTAAATTTATAAAAATAATTGAATTAAGGCGAAGGAATTTATAAAAAAATTTGAATTGCTGAGAAATTTTTATTATTTATAAAAATAATTAAATGTTTGCGTACTATTTTTGTGAATTTGAAATTGATTTGAAAATAATTGAGGCCTTGGATCCAATAACTCGCCCGACGCTCGAAGGCACGCGCTAATACCAGCCGGGTATCACTCTTGAAAATAATTGAATTTTTGCAATTATTTGTAATTTTTCCAAAATCGAATTTTTTTTAGTATTTTCAATAAAAATTTGAATAACAAATTTTTAAATTCTATTATTTTTAAAATCGCTAATTTTATCCCAAAAAGTTAGCTAAAAAAAGTTGCTAGTTTTGTAATAAAATTTAAAGAAAAATATATTTTGCACATCAATACTCATCCAATAAAACGTTCTTTTGTCAAAATATAAATTTTCGACTCACTTGTCCGTTTTCGAAGAAAATTTCTCGTAAAGTACGAAAAGTATTCAATTCTTCGGCAGACATTGTACCCAATTTTGCTACCCACGGAGTCTCGTTGCTTCTTTTTCTTCTTCTTCTTCCTTTGAAAAAATTCGAAATCTAAAAATAAAAATAAATAAATTGAAATTAATATTATTATAGAAAGAATGTTAAAATACAGTGTTGAAAAACAAAAAAATACGACGAGGATGGGATTCGAACCCACGCGTGCAGAGCACATTGGATTAGCAGTCCAACGCCTTAACCACTCGGCCACCTCGTCCGTTGAGGAAATGTTTTTTTAGGAACGACGCAGTTTTAGAAAAAATTTTTTTTAATTACCAACTCGAAAATTTAGCAAAATTGGCTTATTTAACATTGGGAGATGGTATAAAATGGATAATATGCTCTCTGGGACAATTTTTCTGCTTTGGTGTATTTTTCAGGGTATAAAGTAAATTATTCGGAAATATATCGAGAATTTACATGCAAACGATGACGAGATTTACGGAGAGAATAGTTTTCAAAATTTGTTTCTTACAAACAAATTTTGAAAACTATTTTCTGCGTAAATCTCGTCGTTTGAACAAATGCTCTTCATTTAAACATAAATGTACATTTTGAAAAAAAACATTTGTTCGGTTAAAATAAAAATTTGCTCTAAGTTACCGAATTCTTTTTTCTCTCTAAATGTGAATTATTAGTCGCTTTTGACAAATTAGCACCGATTCGTTCACTAAATGAATTCGTAACACTAGTGATTTAATTTTTTACTTAAAAAATGACAAATTCATTAATGTAATTTTTAGGTTATGTTGAATAACTATAAAAAAAATAAGATTTTTGTCTGCAGCAAAAAATTTTCTATTGTCTACGACGCAATTAATAATTTCTTGTTACAAATAATTAGTATAGTAATTTCTACAAATTCGTAGACAAAGTTAATGAAACTGGACCAAATGTTTATTTGGTAAACAAACTTCTCTGAAAAGAATGGGAATAACCTCGAAGTCTAAAAATTAGATAAATCAAATAAGATTTATGCAACAAAATATAGTATTTGATTCAACCACATTCTTTTCTGAGAGAAAAGTTCTAGAATCATAAAAATAGATTTCAGATTATTGCTAATAAAAAAAATACACTTACCTTTTTTTTATAGAAGAGAGAAAATTGTTATTCACAAGAGAACCTCATTTATGAAAAAATGGAATATTTACAATAATAATTGTATAGTTATCTGCATCAGTTATCATCGGAATGGGAGCAGGAATGTGTTGTTGCATGTGCTGCAGAAAATCAATTGGTTTTTCTGAAACTGAAATTGAATAAGAATTTTTTAAACATGAAAGATTATAATTGTAGTTGCTACACTACACAAAACTACATTCAGAAAAAAATATTAAATAAAAAATGAGTATTGCTATCGGATATTTGTTTGATTCAACTACAAAATTTCCTTCAACTGACCAAACTTTTTCAGGGTTGCCACAAAAAAATGATTTTGTTTTTCCCTGATTTCCAGACAAAATTTTGACAATTTTTTCCTGACCATAAAGAATATTCTGATTCACTCTAAAAATTATTAGACAAAAAAATTTTCTATTACATTTATTTACGAATTTTTTTAATTGTAAAATTATTCGAAAACATTAATAAATTCTTTTTTAAATAAATATTTAATCATTATTATTACTCTAATATAGGAATTAGAATTTTCAAAAAAATTTTAATTCAATTATTTTTATAAAAAATAATAAAATTTTTCTTAGGATTTCAATTATTTTTAATACAATTTTAAATAAATTCCTCGCGAAATGTAATTATTTTCAAACATTTTTTGCAAGAATTTAATTACATTTCACAAATAATGAAATTCTTCGCTGAAATTCAAAAAATATTTTCAAAATCTACTATTTTAATAAAATTTCTCATAAGAATTCAATTTATTCTAAAAAAATGTAATAAAATATGATACAAAAATACAATTATTTTCATGAATAATAAAATTCTTTACAGGATTTCAATTATTTGAAAAAATGTAATAAAAATTCGTTGCAAGCATTCAATATTATTCTCCTAAATAATGAAATTCTTCACAGGATTTCAATTATTTTTAATTTACAATTTCAAGTAAATTCGTCGAAAGAATTCAATTATCAAATATTTTTAATAATTTCCCAAAAGAATTGAATAATTTAAAAAAAAATGTTTATAAAATCGCAAGCATTCAAATATTTAAAACATAATTTTCCTAATATTTTTCGAAAAAAATCAATTATTTCCATAAATAATAAAATTCTTCTCAGGAATTCAATTATTTTTAAAAATTTTAAGAATAATCGTTGCAAGAATTCAATTATTTTTATAAATATTTAAAATCATCGCAGGATTTCAATTACTTTTAATACAATAAATTTTAAATGAATTCCGCAAAAAATGCAAAGACTATTCTTAAAAATATTAATAAAATTCTTTGAAAGAATAAAATTCAATTATTTTTAAAAATTTTAATAAAATTCTTTATAATAATTGAATTGTCTTTAATATAATTTTAACAAAAATTTTTGAAAGAATTCAATTATTTTCATAAATAATATACATTTTTTAAAGAAATTCAATTATTTAAAACACAATTTTAATAAAATTTGTTGAAAAAAATCATTTCGCTTGACAAAAATTAATTCCGCTAAAAACGCAATTATTCTTAAAAGTTTTGAATAAAAATCTTCAAAAAAATTTAATTATTTAAAAAAATTTGATATAATTTGTTTCTTAGAGTGTAATAATTATTTCTAATTCATTTTTAATTACATTTTTTAAATGAATTTAATATTATTAAAAATTTTAATGCAATTCTTCGTGAAAATTCAATTACTCTAAAAAATATTGATAAAGTTCTGTAAATAAGAATTCAAATTTAAGAAACATTCAATTATCAATTATTTTTAATACTTTTTTGCAAAAGTTCTTTGAGAATTTTTAAATCCATTCGTTTACAATTCAATTTTACGATATTTCGATTATTCGAAAATTCTTCACTTAAATACTAAGAAAATAAAAACTTGGAATAATTTCAAAAAAAAAATTTAATTAAACTTTTTCAAAAAAAAAATTAATTCTACAGAATTGTCAGTTAAAAGTATGAAAAATTCAAATTTTCAAAGATTTTAATTTGAAACCTTTTAAAAATATGTACAATTATTTTAAAAAATTCATGCTTTTATGCTTTTAATATTCAATTATTATCTAAAATTTTAACTGAAATTCATTTTTAAATTATTCTTTATTAGAAAATTCTATACGAGAATTCAATATTATTTAAATATAAAAGTAAATAACTTATTGAATCAATAAATGTTTCTCATAATTAAATTCTCATAAATAATTTTATCAACATAATTGAATTCTTTCAACGAATTTCAATAAAATTTTCAAGAATAATTACATTTTTCGAGGAATTCGATTAAAATTGTATTAAAAATAATTAAAATTCTGTCCATGAGTTTCATTATTCATAAAAATAATGGAATCCCTGTAAAAAATTTTATTATTTATAAAAATAATTGAATTATTGCGAAGAAATTTATAAACAATTTGTAAATAGTTGAATTCCTGTGGAATTTTTATTATTTATGAAAATAATTTAATATTTGCTTAGAATTTTATCAACATTTTTTTTTTAAATAATTGAATTCTTTCGGAAAATTTTATTAAAATAGTAAATATTGAAAACCATTGAATTGAGGATAATTTTTTTAAATAATTGAAATTTTGACATAAATTTTTTGACATAATTGAATTTCTACGAAGAATTTTATTACTTTTGAAAATAATTGAATATCTGCAATCATTTGTAACTTCTCTAAAATTTAATTTTTTCCAGTACTTTAATAAAAAAATCCCTGATTTCCCAAACAAATTTTTTTTGTCCCCATCGAAAATCAAAAGAAGAAATTTTATACACAAATTACGAAAGGAATTATATTTAATTCCTCATAAGAGGAAAAATAAATTTGCACTTACATGGTTGAAAATCCATTTCACATCCACGGTATAAAGTGTAGATATATATATTTTAAAATCGAAAAGCTTCTAATGCGATTTTTCTCATGTGAGTCACGATTTTCCATATATGATAATGCATAACGATGATGTGAATGACTTTCCATTTCGTATATTATTCAAATAAATTATTTCCAGTTTTCAATATAATTGAATGCTTCTGTAACATAAGAAAATTGTAAAAGGAAAATTAGTATAATATGACAAAGTATACATTGTAAAGGTAAGTACATATTATTACACCGCATGATTCCAGGCAGCAAAAATGCCTTTCTTCCCCCATATAAAATTCATTATACTATTTTCATCAAAGAAAATTATAAGACATATTATAAAGATATCTATAAAAATAATTACACCATATATATCCTGACATTTTAAACCCATATTATCATTTACTTTCAAAAGTTCGATCGAATTTATCCAAGTTAAATTTCTATTTCATTATTTTGAGAATAAAACGAATAAAAAAAGCGTACAAAAAAAATGTTTGTCAATAATTATTTCTCGATAAAATTAATTCGTTTCTTTATGCAACTCATTGGCATGTGGCCATCAAAAAATAAAGTTCAAATTTTATTGTCGAATTTTATCTTATTTTACACGATATTCACAATGGTTTTTGCAACAATGATCGAAGGAATGGATCTCTATTATTCTTGGGGTGATATAAAGGTTGAGATTTAATTATTATTTTCAAATTTCTGAAGTTAGCGTCGACGCTTATTTTAGAGATGATATCAGGGAAATTTTAATTCTAGAAGCTTTGTAATAAATTACTTTTTTGTCAGTATTTTTTTTTTTTTTTTAATCTAAAATCTCAGAAAAAATATAATTCTTTTCGATTTTTCGACTCGGCGTTGACGACAATTTCATCAGGGAACTGCGTATTTTCAAAAGAAAAAATAATTTAGGCTATCACATTTTGTGCTCCTTGTGCAAGTGTCGTTTTTTCGACATTAGGACAATTGGCAACCTTTGTATATCATCGTAATGAAGTATTGAATTTTAATTCGTACACAGAAGAAACTTTTTGGAAAATTCAGTACAACAATCGAGATATGATAATTTTGAAAAAGTGCAATCAAATTTGTACTTTTTCTTGCATTGGACTTACTACTTTACTGCAAACAATCGCTTGGCATTATGTCACAATGCCAATAATAGGTATCATATCAATATTATACGATAATTGAAAAAATTGAGAGCATTTTTTCTATTTCTTTATAAAGAAAATTGCAAATATTGCAATTATTTTTTTATCGTAAAAAAATTACGTCTGTTTTTATCTCTGAAATGTATTTTTTCAGAATCCGAAGGAAATAATGTTTCGGAAAGAACATTACCTTTTAATTTGTGGTTTAATATTCCTTACAAAGAGACTCCTTTCTACGAAATTATTTACTTCTTGCAGGTATTTTTGAATGTCAGGCCTCGCACTCATCTATACTAAAACCTACTATTTACTACTTTTTTTACGATTTGCTATACTTAACTATTTGGATACTTTTTTTATTTGTTACACTAAAAGCAATTTTTTCCATGTTTAAGAATTTACACTACTTTAAATTTGTTAACAGTTAAAATAAAAAAATTATTTAAAAAATTTTTAATAAATGTTATAGGAAAAAAATCAAAAAAATTTTAATAAAATTCTTTAAAACGATTCAATTATTTTGACAAATTTTTCGTAATTCAATAATTTTTAATATCTACTATTTTAATAAAAAATTCCCCAAAAGAATTAAATAATTATTTAAAAAAAAATGTTTAAAAAATTCTTCGCAAACATTCAATTATTTACTTTAAGAAAAACAGAATTTTCCTATAATATTTTTCGAAAAGAATCAATTATTTGAATAGATTTTTATAAAATTCTTTGCAAGAATTCAATTAGGTATTTCTATAAATAATAAAATTCTTCTCATAAAAATTCAATTATTTAAAAAAAATTTTAAGAATAATCGTTGCAAAAATTCAATTATTTTTATAAATATTTAAAGTCATCGCAGGATTTCAATTATTTTTAATACAATAAATTTTAAATGAATTGGGGCCATTCAAGTATTACGTAAGCATATTTTTCAGGTTTTTAGACCCCCCCCCTCCCCCATGTAAGATTTTTTATATGCATTAGCGCCATTTTTTCTAATGGAAATAAGCAATAGCTAGACCCCCCCTCGCCCTTAAATGCTTACGTAATACTTGAATGGTCCCATTCCGCAAAAAATGCAAAGACTATTCTTAAAAATGTTATAATAAAATTCTTTGAAAGAATTCAATTATTTTAAAAATTTTAATGAAACTCTTTATTATAATTGAATTGTTTTCAATATAATTTTAATAACATTTTTTGAAAGAATTCAATTATATTCATAAATAATATATAATTTTTAAAAAAATTCAATTTTTTAAAACACAATTTTAATAAAATTTTTTGAAAAAAATCATTTTTTTAAAAAAGAATTTTTTTAAATTCTTCTCAAGAATGTATAATTATTTAAAAAACTTTATTACAGTTCGGTGACAAAAATTAATTCCGCTAAAGACGCAATTATTCTTTAAAATTTGAATAAAATTCTTCGAAAAAATTCAATTATTTGAAAAAATTTAAAATAATTTGTTTCTTAGAAGAAATTATTTTTAATTCATTTTCATTCATTTTAGTGAAAATTATAGATTATAAATTGAATATTAAAAGGATTACAACGTAAATTTTTAGAAATAATTGAATTTTAAAAAGGTTTCAGATTAAAATCTTTGAAAATTTGAATTTTTCATATTTTTTAATAAAAACATTCTGTGGAATTAATTTTTTTTGAGAAAGTTTAATTGCGGATTTTTTTTTTAAATTATTCAAAGTTTTTATTTTCTAATATTTATTTAATTATTGAAGAATTTACGAATAATTTAAAGTTTGTCAAATTAAATTGTCAGCAAATTAATTTGAAAATTCTTAAAGAACTTTTTCAAAAATGTTTTAAAATAATGGATATATATGAAGATGTTTAGTTAAAAACACAAAAAAAAATTCGATTTTTGGAAAAGTTACAAATTATTGCAGAAATCCAATTATTTAAAAAAAGTTTTTTTAAATTCTCATCAAAATTTTCAAATTATCTTTATAAACTGCAAAATTTGTCGACAAAATTCAATTGTTTACAGAAATTTTAAGAAAATACTTGTCAAAATTTCAATTGTTTAAAAAAATGTTTGATAAAATTCTACTCAAATATTAAATTATTTTTGTAAATAGTAAAAATTTGCCAGAAATTCAATTACTGAAAAAAGAGTATAATCTTCTCAATAATTTAATTATTTTTATAAATAACAAAACTCATTGAAGAATTTCAATTATTTTAAATACAATTTTAATTGAATTCCTCGAAAAATGTAATTATTCTTTAAAATTTTATTAAAATTTATCAAAAGAATTCAATTATTTAAAAATTTGTTTTGAAAAAATTCTTTATGAGAATTTAATTTTTTAGAAACATTCAAATTATTCAATAAATTATTTATTTTTATATTTAAATAATTTAATTATTTATTTATTTGAAACATAACGGGACATGCCCTTTCGTACATTACGCACTCCTAATTATCGTAGAATTTTTTTAGTGAAAATTGATTTAAAAATGAATTTCGGTTAAAATAATTGAATTCTTGTAGAACTTTCTAATAAGAATTGATTTAGAATTAAATAAAATGATTAAAGTTTTGAATAATTATATTTATAAATTTCAAGAAAAAAATGATTGTATTTTGAAAGAATTACTTTTTTAATTTTTAGAAATAGTTAAATTTCAAAAATTCGTTACATTGAAATCATTTGAAATATTTTAATTCCTGTAGATAAAATAAATAGATATTTAAATATTTATTTTAAAAAATTATTCTTTTTTTTTTAATGTAATTAAGAAATTATAAAAGAATTGAGTTGTCAAGTTTAATTTTTCGATAGCTAATTTTTTACTACTTTTTTTCTATTTTTAAACTATTTTTTGTTACATTTTTAAAATTAATTATCGAGTGCGAAGCCTGGAATGTCCAATTTATATTTTGACGCTCCACACGGAAAAAGACACCCTGCAAAACAATTGAAAACCATTTTTATTGTTATCTTTGTTTAAAATAGTAATCTTTTTCTCCTGGAGCGCGTCACAGAATCTAAATGTTAATTAGCAAAAGTCCATAACTAATTTTTAACTGTATCAAAAAATCAATTTATCAAAATTGCAAACTTTGAGTAGTTTTTATTTGCTAATTCAGATTTAGTTAACATACTAAAAATTATTAGCGAAAAAATAAAAAATTTCTAGACAATTAAGAAAAAGTCTATTGCAACTTTCAGTACGTGTATTTGTTGTACAACATTTGCGAATTTTCTTTTCCTAATCAACATATTCACTGCTGGTCAATTTCAAATTTTACAAAACAAATTACAAGATAGTTGCAGTGTAACGAATAATAGTGAAAGTAAATGCAAGTTGAATAACAATAGTTACGAGAAATTAAAAAATTGCATTCAATTTCATCAGTTGCTTATAAAATATATTGAACGAATTGAAAATCTCTATTCCTATTGTGTATTGGGGCAAGTTTTCACTTCTGTGATGCAAATTTGTTTTTCTGGATTTCAGATAATTTTGGTATGTACAATTTAATTACCAAATTGTAATTTTTTGGTTATTTTTGCTTAATTATTTGATTAATTTACATATTTAATAATTTTCTTGTTTAGTAATTTCTTTATTTAATAATTTGCTTATTTAATAATCCACTTACTTAATAATTTACTTATTTAGTAATTTAAATTTATTCACAAGACAAAATAAAGTTATTACCCAAGTAGCTCATTAATGAAACAATGTGTATTTTCCCCTCTCCATCAGGGCGTTGGCAATTCATTTAATGGAACAATGTTGAGCGTTGAATATTTTCTTGGCAGTTTTCTTCAACTTTACTTTTTCGCCTGGTCCTCACATCAAATTATTTTGGAAAGCGAATCTATTAAACTCGCCATTTACAAATCGAAATGGTACAATGAAGGAAGACATTTTCGTCAGTCGATTAACATTCTTATGTTAAAATCCAATCGTCCTTGCGTTTTGAGCGTTGGAAAATTTACTCCGTTGTCATTAGATACATTTACAGCGGTAAATAATTATTTTTCTCATTTTACGTTTTGTCTTGTCATAAAAAACTACCTAATCTTAATTTCATCGTTTTTTTTTTTTTTTGTTAGGTGGCAAAAACTGGACTTTCCTATTTTACTGTTCTGCGACAAATGACTGAGGAAGAGTAATGTGTTTCCCAAAAATGTTTTTTTACTTCGAGTAAGATATTTCTTATTGATTATTCATTATTTTCGTAGAGATAATCGAAACTCTGCAATTAATTAACTAATCTCTCTCCGAATACAGTGGAACGTCTCTAATAATTAATACTTTAGAGCCTTTGGAGAAATATGATATAAAGAAATTACAATACATTTTACATTTTAAGGTTATGTTTGACAAAAAAGGCCCTCCAGTGACGTCACGACATGGAGGGGAGTAAGAAAAAATGCGGGGAAATATTGAAATTGCATGACCTTGAAAATAGAGACGTTCTATTGTAAAATACAAGAAAAACAAATACTAAAATAATCATTTTTTCTTATTTTAGAAAAAGCGTTTCTGAAAATACATTTAATTTTTATAGGCTTACCTAATAAATTATCGAAGTTATTAAAGGTGTATCATTTTGTCCATGAAATGTCTGTCTTTTCATATAAAATTCATACACCTTTCATCAACGTATCTTGTATCAAAGAAAATTCCAGGTTCTATTAAATTATAGTACGAAAAATGATTAGGTATATAATGTATAATTTGTTACTCAGCAAAAAGTTTATTTCAAAGTTCGTTGATCTCGGAGCTCTCTAAGCAAAAACATCCTAACATTTATTTCACCTTTATAAATACTAATACTACGAAAGACAAATCTTGGATTCTTGGAAAAAAATGGCATTTTTGTGGTCGAATTTAAATTCCGCGCCGATTATTTAAAGTGACAACAATAGAAGGTAAATTATCGACCGGGCGACAGTCGCTTTACCGACAGAGGTTGCTTAACGTCAACTGATTGTCATTAAACATATTAAACGTTAAACAGTTCTTTATAACCTCAATCCTTCAACTCTTCAGTATTTTTTCTCTTTTTTCGAATTTCCATTCCTCTTAATTAATACAATAATGACAGTAAACTTCACTGTGTATCATATTAGCAATTTATGATAAAAAAATTTGTAAAAGTGTATTATTTATGTACATCATTCTCTCTTGGATATTGTGTCAAGAATAGTCAAAGATCTGTCAAGAATCTGATGCTAAAAGCCAAATTACAACTTCAGCAGAATTAGGTAAGTGATATAGGGTTTTAAAGTTGGATAGGTCAAAAATTCCCGTTCCCTTTGGTTACACCATCTTTGTATACATTCACACTATTCACACTTGTGGAAGTGTAGATATACATATATATGTATAATAGTCGACGAGTAAATTTCCCTGTGTTGTTCTGTTGTTGCCGAGTGAAAATAATGTAAGAAAAGAGTGCGAGTCGTGGTAAAACATATTTGAGAGAGCTTGAAATTCAGGACAGAAAACAAAAAAGTGAACATTAAAGCAGGACCAATAAACGTGAGGGGGTAGGAAAGAAAAAACGATAAAAAGAAAAGAAAAACGAGAAAGCAACTCTGCATCGCGCGTTGGACTTAGGAAGGGGCATCGTCAAAATGTCGCTGAAACTAACGCAGATGCAGTGATATATTTGGTATGAGGGTTCAAGATTTTCAAACTTTACCCTCCATTGTACATTTACGAGTGTTTTGCAGCAATCAAATTTAATTTTCCCCATTATCAATACTTAGGTAAAAAAAAAAAAAAAAATTCTATAAATTCACACTGTTGTATGTTTTCTCGCAACAAAATCATTCAGTCGCGACGTCAACAGCAATACGGTCGCATCGATTACAGCTTGTACATTTTTTCTTGCGTAAAAAATTAATTTCATTAATTTCATCGCGTGTTTTTTCAATCGTAACACAATCATTCTCTTATTTCTCTTTTGTAATAATATTTTTTTTCGATTACTCGTGTGCCTATCTGATTAATTTACAAGTGTCTGAATCACATTTGTACTTGGTATTCCTTATTTGTACTTTTTTCATTGCTTTGCCTATTTATTGTGTGTTTAATTTATTATTCACGTTTGCTTTTGAATTTTTAAACATTTATCTTTTCACGTTGTGTTGAATATTTGAGAAATATTTTTAATTTTGTTGAATACTATATATTTATATTAAAAAAGGAATTAATTAATGGTGTTTGTTGTGATGTGGATTTTTTAAAAACAAATTTTTTTGCAGCTGATTGTTAGGAAAAAGAGAAAAAATGGTATCTACACGCCAATCAAGTAATATGGGAGGAAGCAGTGCTGGTGGTTCGGTTTGCGATACAGTTGGCGATGTCCAACCTCGCAAACAACCGACGAATATACAACCAAGCACATCTACTGGTCTACAAGTTGTAGAATCTCCAGTTCAGTGTCAAATAAATCTTCTACAATTGCCTGAAGAAATTCAGGATAAAATTTTTAGTTATTTGAGCTTCAACACAATCGCTGGTTTACGACCCGTAAGTTTTGTATTATTTTTCTTGGATGTTTATAAAAAATGCTTTTTTAAAAATATTTCATTCAGGGTGACCACATGTCAGTAAAGTCAGTAAAATTAAGACTTTTTTCCAACTTATTTTTAAAAAATTACGACTTTTTCGATTTTTCTTCCAAATATTGCAATAAAATACCACGTTTTTTTTAGTATAAAAAAATAAACTTATTTCGATTTTTATAGTGCGAAAAATAACTATAAGCAAATTTTTCAAAAATTATTTTTGAATCATTTTTTAAAATAATTAAATTTTTAAGTATATCTGTGATAAAAATATTTTAGAATAATTTAAATTTTGTAAAATTTAATTGAAAATAATTAATTTTTTTCAGACTTGAAAAAAATTAATTATTATTATTAATTATTAAATTAATTATTAAAATTCTTCAAAAATTTGATTATTTTAAGAATATTTTAATGAATTAAATTTTAATTGTTTGGAAATTTTTCAATTGTATATATAATTAAAAAAATATTATCATTAAAAAATTATTTACAAATATTTAAAAAAAATTAATTGTAAGAATTTCTTTATTATAATTTTTTTAAAATATTATATACCTTAATAACTTAAGAAAAAACAGTTACAATTATTATAAAAAATTGGGTTTTTGTATTTAAATAATTGATTTGGAGATGAAGTTGTGGTTGAAAATTGTAGAAAATAATTGAATTATCAAAAATTTAGTGAAAAATCTTTAAAGGTAAATTTAAAAATGAAAATTAATGAAAATTTGCTTCTAATTTTTTTAAATTTACCTAATATTTTCAATATTATTCAATTACATATTTCTAACAATAATAACATTTTAGAATTATTTTTAACATTTTGGAGAAAACAATCATGTTAGTTCAAAATTTGTAATTAAAATTCATTAAAAAATTAATTAGTTTTTTTTAAATTATGCAAAAATTCTTTTAAGAAATTCAATTATTTTCGAAAAATTAGATTCAAATATTTTTAAAAACTAATTATTAGAATTTTTTATAATAATTTTTTAAGATTCAAAATTTACTTTTTGGACTGTTTAAAATTTTTGAGAAATCATGGTCTAGTTTATAATTAAAATTCTTCAAAAATTTGATCATTTTTATTTATACTTTTCAAAAATTCAATTATTTTTAGAAGAACTTTTGGAAAATTATTTAAATTAATTGATTCAGAGATGAAGTGTAGTTGAAAATTGTAGAAAATAATTGAGTTCAGGATGGGTTATAATTGTAATTTTTAGAAATTATTAAAATTCATAAATTTTACTCATTTTCCGTAAACATTAATATTTTCCTGTAAAAAGAATTTTGTCAGGGAAAGTAATTTTAATGTCAGTAAATTGTCAGGAGAATGACAGGGACATTGATAAACTGAAACTTGTGACCACTCTGCACCCTGTTATTGTGTTTTTTGATTTAATTTTTAATTATAATATGTAATTAGAAATTCAAAAATATGTTTTTTGAGATTTTCTTTGCGATTGGTGATAATTTTTGCTCTTGCAATAGGTCTGTCATCAAATGGATCGAAAATGTGGCTCATTACTTAATAAAACGTTTCAACGACTCCAAGCGCAGATGCTTAGTCGTTTTCAAGCTATCAAAGCACAGATGCCTCGACGGGAATCAGCAAGACGAAATCATCCCTTGGCTTGCGAGTCAGATATTATAGAAACCCTGCACATGCGACTTACGTTATTGCAAATGAGTTTCGGTAAACATATCGAACGAAAACACTGCTGCTTCTTTCCTGGAGAAGTATGTTTAAAGATTTTCCTTCTTTTCCTTTATTTATTTATTGTCTGAATTTATGACGCTTTCTAAATAAAGGTTTCTGAGGAGCAACAAATTTGAGGTTATGTTTGTAATTTTTTTAATGAAAATACAAAAATCGATTTTAGTTTTAAATTAACAGAAGTTTTTAATTAAAGTAAAAAACATAACGTTAAAATTCTTTGCTTCTTGGTATCTTTTTTCAGAGCGTGTCACATTTTTTTTTATGGATTTATTTCTTTTTTAACTTTGGATTTAAAAAGGTTCATTTTTTTAGATTCTGGACGAAGTGTATCGCATTCTTCACTACATAAAAGTAACTCCAAAACTCGCCAGGCCTTACAAGGTGACCGACGAATTGTTTGATTTGAGTACCATGGCTATGGAATACTTCAAAGAGCGCATTGAACCAACTCTTCCAGAGATTCCTTATTTTGGAGCTGACTTTTTGGATTTTGCAGGAACATTATCTTGTGAGTCTCAAAAAAAAAAAGGGGAAACTTCGATTGAAGACTCGTGAAAATTGGAAAAATTTCACTCATTTAAAATCTGATTTATTAATATTTAAATTAATTCATAAATAACTTAATAAATCTAATTTTTATTTGTGCTTTTTCAGCCTCTAATACTGTAAAACAGCCTTTCTTGTGCCTGGATGCACCGTTGAGTGTAGGAGGAAAATCAGGAAGTGGAGAAGAGGGATCACCAGTTCATTCATCGGATGAGCCTGGTATATTGGAGTCGAATGTCGCTCCACCACAGTCGAATATGGTTCTACGAAAACGAATTCGTAAAATCAAGCAGGGAATGAAGAGGTACAACAGTCAATTGACATTGATGCGTCGAGATTTACGAAATTGTAAGACGAAAATTGCCGAGCAACAAAAGCAAATTGTCGAGTACGCAACACGTCTTGATGAAAATGATAAGAAAAATGAAGAAACATCGAGAAAATTTAGTACACTCTTACAGGTATTTACCAAGGTACACTCGTTTTTACCAATACGTTGAGGATCAACGAAATTTGCCGAGTCCTAAGTCCTGTAAAAATTTCTCCTGTCCGAGTACTTCCACTCCATTGTCAACAACTTTGTCACTTCGAAAAAGATCTTTTCAATACTTGAAAATATTACGAATCAAATTACATATTTCTTTATTATTATTCTATTACTATTCTATTATCATTCTACTATTCTATTATCAGGGTTGCCACTGGTCAGGGAATTCAAGGGAGAGGTCAGGAAATTTGATTAAAAGTACTGGGAAAAAATTAAATTTTTAGAATTCAAAAGAAAATTCTAAAATTTGGTGTCTTTTTTTGTTTACCTCTTAAACTATGAAATAACCACGAATTCTAATACAAAACCTTCAATTTTTCTATTTCTTACAAATAATTTCTTTTTAAATAACTGAGTTCTTGAAGAACTATCATAAAAATATTACTTATCAATTATTTAATGAATAATTTTACTTTAAAATTTCAAAAATAATTGAATTTTATAAGAGTTGTGTTTACAATTTTCATAAATAAATGAATTTCAAAAGGTTTCAATTTAAAATTTTAGAAAACTTGAATTTTGAATGAATTTAATAGAAATTTTAAAGAACTTAATTTTTTGAAAAATTTTAATAATTCAAATTCTTATGAAATTAGTTCAATTTGTTATTATCTATTTAATAAATTATTAAAAATAATAGATTTGCAGAAGAATTTTAATTAAAAACTCAAAAAGAAATTGAATTTTGGAGAAGTTACAAATAATAGGATATTTTTAAAAATAATTGAATTTGGAAAAAGGTTTCAAATTCACATTTTTGAAACATCTGAGTTTCTCATACTTTTCATTAAAAATTCTGTAGAATAATAATTTTTTTGAGCAATTTTAATTTCAATTCTGTTGAAATTAGTTTAATTTTTTAATATGTATTTAATATTATTGAATACTTCAAAAAATTTAACGCCATCCTTTGAAAGAATTCAATTATCTTGATAAATATTTGAATTCTTCAGAGAAATTAAATTATTTTTACGAATTTTAATAAAATTCTTTGCGAAATTCCATTATTTTCATAATTAACAATATTCACTACAAGAATTCAATTATTTCCAAAAGTAATATAATTCTTAGCATAATTTCAATTATTCTAAAAATTAAAAAAAAATTCTTGTCAACATTTCAATTATTTTTATAAATAGATTAATTATTGTCGTAATTCAATTATTTTCTAAAATTTTTTAAAAATTCTTGACAGAATTTCAATTATTTTCGAAAATTCTTCTTAATTCAAAGATTTTAAATATCTATTTTCATCAAATTTCCCTAAAAAATTTAATTATTTTTTAAAAAATGTCAATAAAATTCTACGCAAACATTTAGTAATTTTCAAAAATAATAAAGAATACAAGGGAATTCAATTATTTAAAATAGAATTTGGATAAATTTTTTCGAAATAAATCAATTATTTAAACATTTTTTATAAAATCGTTCACAGTAATTGAATTATTTTCATAAATATTGAAATTCTTCACAAGGATTTAATTATTTTCATAAATCATAATCAATAAAATTCTTTTTAGGAATTTAATTATTTTTATAAATAATAAAACTCACCCCAGAATTTCAATATTTTTTTAAAACAATTTTAATTGAATTTCTCGAAAAATGAAATTATTCTTAAAAATTTTATTAAAATTCGTCGAAAGAATTCAATTATTTAAAAATTTGTTAATAAAATTCTTTATAAAAATTCAATTTTAAGATAAATTCAATCAATCAATAAATTATCAATTTTAAAATTTAAATAATTGAATTCTCGTAGAATTTTCCAATAAAAATTAATTTTAAAATTAATTTCAGTTACATTTTGAGATAGTAATCGAATATTAAAAGCATTATAGAACGAATTTTTAGATTAGTTTAATTATTTTAATTTTTTAATATATATTTAACTAAAGAATTTCAGAATTATCGAAATTTAGTCAAATTCAATTGTAAGCAATTATTGTATTTGAAAATTAATTTAAATGACATTTTTTTATTCTTCGAATATTTGGATTCTCAAAGAACTTTGTCAAAAATTATTGGAAATAATTTATTTAAAGAAGAGTTTTCGTTAAAAAGTCTAGAGAATAATTGAATTGAAGTGATTAAAATAATTTTAAACAAGTTACGGGAGCAATTTTTATAAATTATTAAATTTCAAGAGGTTTGAAATTACAAATTTTTGAAAATCTTCATGCATATGAAAAAAATAATAATACAATTAAATTATTTTCAACAAATATTCGAAATTCATTTATTTTCAATATCTAGTATTTTCATAATATTTCGCAAGAGAATTCAATTATTTAAAAAAATCGATAAAATTAATACACATTTCAATTATTTTCATAAATAATAAAATTTCCACAGAAATTTAATTATTTTAGAATAGCATTTTCAAAAAAATTTTGAAAAAATCAATTATTTAACAAAATTTTTATACAATTCTTCACAATAATTCAATTATTTTTACTAATAATAACATTTTTCATAGAAATTCAATTTTTTAAAACAATTTTTGATAAAATTTTAAGCAAGAATTCAATTATTTTCATAAATAATAAAACTCATTCAAGAATTTCAATTATTTTTAATACTATTTTAAATTAATTTATCGAAAAATTCAATTATTTTCACAAATCAAGTTTTCCACAAGAATTTAATTATTTAAAATAAAATTTTCATAATATTTATTATATTTCGGAAAAATTAATTATTTAAAAAAATGTTTGTTTAAAATTCTTTAGAAGAATTAAATTATTTACAAAAATATTAGAATTTTCCACAGGAATTCAATTATTTTAAAATATTTCAATAAAATTGTTCGAAAGAAATCAATTATTTTAAATAAAATTTTTGAAATATTATTCTTTTAGATTTTAATAAAATTCTTCCTAAGAATTCAATTATTTACATAAATAATTCTTCGAAAGAATTCAATTATTAAAGATAAATAAATTCTTTGCAAAGTTCAATTATTATCATAAATAACAATATTCATCACAAGAATTCAATTATTTTTAAAAGTAATACATTTTTTCTTGGAAATTCAATTATTTTTAAAAATTATATAATAAAATCGTTCGCAAGAATTCAATTATTTAAAAATTGTTATAAAATTTTTTTGCAAGAATTAAATTATTTTTATAAATATGTATTTAAATTCTTTCATGAATAATAAAATTCGTTGCAGGAATTCAATTTATTAGCAGGATAAGAAAGAAGTAAATATTTTTGATGAAAATTAGGAAAAAGGCAGGAAAATAAAATATAGAATGGAATTTTTGTCAGTTTTGTGAAGTTTCTAAAACTAGTTTTTTTGGTCAAATTTAATTTTTCGATAGCTACTTTTTTAATACTTTTTTAGTTTGAAAGCTACTTTTTGCTACTTTTTCAAAATTAAGTATCGAGTGCGAAGTGTGATATGTGAAAATTTTGTCTGGAAATCAGAAAAATGTCAGAGAAAAACAAAATTAAATTTTTGTGGCAACCCTGATTATTCTATTACTATTTTATTATTCTATTATTATTATTCTCTTTTATTATGTTTAGTATGTTTAGCAGTAGTACGTGTAGTAATTTTGTATTAATTCGAAACTAATATTGAATGAATTGTCTGCAGGAATTAAATAAATGCAAAACAGAACTACAGTACTGGCGATCAAGATCGCCAGCGATTCCAGTTTGCGGAGGATGTGGACAATCAATCCCTCTGCCCATTGATGATCTACAAACGCTCGCCAATCAAGGCGTTCTACCAGAAGGAGCATTCGGTGAGGGTTTCGATTTTATACCAATTCCAGAAGGTGATAGTCCAATTGAAACAGTTTCACCATCAACAAATGCAACTCAAGTAAGCACTGCTCCAATAGAAATGGCACCACCAAAAGCGCCCATATCAGTTATATCGAAAAGAAAAGCGTCTTCAGATGAGTCGTTGAATGATGCTTGCAAAAAGCCACGTCGCACTGCCAAATCTCGTCAGACTAAGCGTTCAAAGATTTAAACTAATTCTGAATATGGTACAAAAAAAATGCTTTGTACATCAAATCCTTTAAAGGGTCTTTAATTTTTTGTTTTCTTGTGCAAAAAAAAAAAAAAAAACGCTGGAAGTTTCACGTGGTCAATGAATAGGCGATCATCAAAAAAAGTACAAAATTTGTTTTCCTCTCGTCCTGCATTTTTCGCAACGAAGTTTCACAATGTGAAACAAACTTTAGGCTTTTATAGATAAATATATAATTGAAATCCAAGTGATTTCTTTTTCTCAAAGAAGGTTTGTGTGATGAAAATATTGAAACAATGTTATTGCAGTTCAAGGAACATTTCTTTTCTTGTATTCGAAAGAATATTTTCTTAAGGAAAAAGAAGAATGAAAATATCAAATTTTCTTTTCATTGAGAACACGATCTCAAGTTTATGAACTTAAAAAGTAGTTTGTTCAAATTAATCCGTTTCGATAGAATCTATAAAGTACTTTCAAAACTGCAAGTTTGGTTTCTAAAGCAGTTTTCGGATTTATGTATAGTTTAAAATGTTACAAATCTCTGTCTCATTAAATAACAAAAAGAACGTTTGTTTAGAAATTTAAGGGGGTTGAAAATTTATATTTGGATTAATTATTAATTTTGTGTTTCTTTTTTAAATTAAGTGAATATTTAGTTCTGTCTTTCTTAACATTTCAAGGGCAAAAAAGATTGATATAAATCTGTTCCTTTAGTGCAGAGAAAAAAAAAATAATGACATTTGTATTTTCTCGGAAATTTCGATCGCCATTTATAAAGTACACGAAACATTTTTTAGTTAATACTCGAATGGTAGCGAAATTGATTCTAGGTACTTTATTCGTACTAATTAATTAATAATCATATCAATTTTTCAGTTACCTACTGATTACTTTTCTTTCTCTATTAGGAAAATTTCTTCAACACGCGTCTCTGGTTAGTAGCGAATAAATGTTTAGCAAATTTTTTTTGTGAATATTTTAATTCACAAATTTTTATTTTAATCTTATTTTATTGCATTTTAGAATATCTTTAATTTAAATTAAACTGAATTAATGAGTGGATACGTACATATATTTAATTATTAATGGGTTGGAATATATTTTTTTTATATTCAAGCAAGTTTCTTTACATTCAATAATAGAAATAATAGAAACGCATGAATTCTCGAAAAAAAAAAAATTACAAAATATAAAAACTTAGGTCTGATTTTCTCCTGACAAAAAATTATTTAATTATTTTCAATTGTAATGTTGTACACGTGAAAAAATGACAAGAAGAAACTGAGACTGCAGAAATCTTTTTTGTTTTTAAAGAAGACAGAATGCAGGGCTGTTAATTCTCGAATTACTTTACAAGTAATTCGATTTTAAGGTACTACGATTTATTTTCTGTGGAATCACATTGATATTCAATTTAAAGTGTATATGTATGTGTATATTTAATTTTGATAATGAATCTGACAACTGTATCTCTTTCTTAAAAAAAAAAATTACGTGCACTTTGTCTTCGTTAGTATAACGAATTTTTAATTCTGTGCAATGCTCGATAGCAGGACGATGGAATAATAATACTACATTCTCTGCACCAATCACTGACGAGTAGTTAGTTTTATCCACGATTATATAAAAATTAAAAAAAGAAAGGATACGGATAATAAATAATACTTTATTATATAAATAAAAAAAAAAAATATATATATATATATATAAATGAATTTAAGTGGAGTACATGTTGGCCTCTGCCACAGAATTTTAGTTTAAAATCTAATTGAACAATAAGATATATTAATAACATTAATAATAAAGTAATTATTGAAATATATAAAAATATATAAATAAATATATATAATTTTATATCGAGTCAAACAGGAATTACCAGAGAAAAGGGAAGAAAGAATGAGAAAAAAAAATGTTTGTGTAATAAGAGATACATATACTAAAATTCAGACACATTATTACTTATATGTAAGTGACCTTTTTCTTGTGGGATATTTCTAGAAATAAAAATCCGAATTTAACCAAAAAAAAGTCCGATTATGTTTCTCAAAAGTGTCTGGATAAAAATTCTTTTTTGGAGAGAAAAAAAGAAAATATTAGAAATTTAACAAAGTTTGTTTTGTTCCATTGAGGGCAAAAAAAACATTTTTGTGCAACGGATAAATGTCTAAAAAATTCCACGACTCAATGATATCAACAAAATACAAATATTTTCTTTTTAGTAATAATAATAGAAAATTTTGTCGAACGAAAAAAAGCTTGTTTTAGTATATGAAGACTTCAATTAGAAATGTTTAACATCACTAGCAGTGTAAACGTTACTAAACGTGCATCATGCTCACATTTTTATTGCATACATGGCTTATTTTATAAGTGGACACACTTATTTTTAATTTATTAAAAAAAAATGTCGTTAATATATATGTCGATATTTTGCTGCGACGGTTTAAAATATCTCACAAATTCCCATAAATAACGTTTGATTGCATTCAAATGTTAAAAATAAATAAATAAATAAATTTTGTCAGGTACTAAAGGTATTTAATTTCAACTATCTTCATTATTCCAGCATCTCAGACTATATTTAGTTCACTGTTTCGTTTATTTGCTTTAATATTTAGTTAATAATAATTTGTTTGTAAGTTTCAATCGCAGGGCTCGAACTAGGTCCGTAAATTTGCTTCAAGTCCGTAAAAGTCTTTTTTTTTTTAAAAAAGGTCCATAAAATCCGTAATTTGATTGAGAAAAGACGAAAAGTTTGTAAATTGTAGGATATAATTTGGAGAATTTTAGAGAAATTACAAATGATTGCAGAAATTCAATTATTTTCAAAAGTAATCAAATTCTTCGAAAAAATTCATTTATGTTCAAAAATTTTTTTAAATTCTCGTCAAAATTTAAATTATCTTTAGAAATAATTAAATTCTTCTCCGAAATCCAATTATTTTCAAAAATTTTAATAAAATTCTTGACAAAATTTCAATTATTTTCAAAAAATTTTCCTTAATTAATGATTTTCAATATTTACTATTTTATAATAAAATTGGCCAAAAGAATTCAATTATTTAAAAACAATTTAATAAAATTATACGCAAACCTTTAGTTATTTTCATAAAATAATAAAAATTTCACAGAAATTCAATTATTTACAAATTTTTTATAAATTTCTTCGCAATCATTCAATTAGTTTCCTAATAAAATTTTTACACAGATTCAAATTATTTACGTAAATAATAAAATTTGTTTCAGAAATGTAATTATTTTCATAAATAATAAAACTCATTGCAGAATTTAAATTATTTTTAATACAATTTTAATCGTATTCCTCGAAAAAATTCTTAAAAATTTAATTAAAATTCGTCAAAAGAATTTTTTTCGATTTAAATAAATAAATTCTTGTAGAATTTAAAAAAAAAAATTGATTTAGAAATTATTGCAGAAATTTAATTATTTTCAAGAGTAATAATATTCTTCGTAAAAATTAAATATTGTTCAAAAATAATAAAATTCTTCTTAGGGATTCAATTATTTTTACAAATAATAAAACTAATTGCAGAATTTCAATTATCTTTTATACAATTTTAATCGATTTTCTCGAAAAATGTAATTATTCTTTAAAACTTTATTAAATTTCGTCGAAAGAATTCAATTATTTAAAAATTTGTTAATGAAATTCTTTATGGGAATTGAATTTCAAGAAATATTTAATTGTTCAATATATTATTTATTTTTGTTTTTAAATAATTAAATTTCAGTTAAAATTTTAGATAATAATTGAGGAATATTTCTTTGAATACTTTTGTACTTACGTTTACTTCTTTTTTTCGTACTTTTTGAACACTAATTTCTTTTTAAAATATTATATAGAAAGTTTGTTTTTGAGAATTGGAACTTTTTGAACACCACGTGTGTACGTATTTACTTTTTTAAGTTGATGTGAAGGTCGTTGGACAGTGATTGGCGCTGGCGTCGCATAAAAGGAAAATAGGTTAGGTTTGGTTGGGTTGGTAATTGTGCGTCACTGGGATGATAATTTTATCTTCTTTTTGAGATGAGAAAAGATGAGCATATCTAATGATCTTTTTTATTGCGACATGTACTTAATGTGGCATTAGTTTTTCCATATTTATTTTATTGATAACTGACATATTGGTTTGTGAAATAATGTCTTGAAGATCATCAAAAAAAACTTTCACACTTGTAAGTATTTTTTTTCTCTAATGCAAATCAGCTGATATTTTCTTTTATTATTGTATACGTGTATACATTATGCATTTAATATTATTTTAATAGTTTTTAATACACTTTCTAAATTTCTTTTTCTTTTTTTCCCCCCTTTTTAAATTAGACATTCGAGAAAATATTTCACATAATGGCCGATGGACAAAATAAAGATGTATATGAACCGAGTAAGTGGAACAATTTTTCCGTATAATAATATTGGTGAACTTAAAAAAATGTAAACATTGAAGAAGAATTTTCTACATTGTTTGCCTGTGTATTAAAGAATTGACTTTTTTTTAAGAATCAGTACCTGCTACGAGATCTAATTCAACACCTGATGGGGACTTGAAGCTGGAACCTTCGAGTCCTACTGAGAGATATGCTTTTACACGTTGTAATAGTACAGGGTCAATTAATACACCTTCTTCATCAGCTCACAATACTGGTGAGTTACAATAAAAATCCTGACATAATAGTAAAAAAATAGTTAAAAAACAATAAAAAAAACAGAAGATTTAGTAAAGAATCTTTCTTTCGAGTAATTTTTTCAAAAATTGAAATTTAATTTAATTGTGATTTGTTTTTTGTAGAGGATGAAGATAGTGACAATAAAAATTCCACCGTTAGTTACAAGGAGCGAAGAAGAGAAGCTCATACACAGGCGGAACAAAAACGAAGAGATGCTATCAAAAAAGGTTACGATTCCCTGCAAGATTTAGTGCCAACGTGTCAACACACAGATTCCTCTGGCTATAAACTTTCAAAGGCAACTGTTCTACAAAAATCTATTGATTACATTCAATTTCTTCTTCAACAAAAAAAGAAGCAGGAAGACGAGAGGAATGCTCTTCGCAAAGAGGTCGTTGCACTTCGTATAATGCAAAATAATTACGAGCAAATTGTGAAAGCCCATCAAACGCAACCTGGACATTCGGAAATGCGGGTTTCGGATGAAACAAAATTCCAAGTGGTACGTATTTATATGTGATAAAAAACAAGTTCTATAAATGTTCCTAGAGTTCTGAACGTTCAAATGAATGGAATTTATTTTATTTCTTTAAATTTGAATTTTATGTCAAGTGTCGAAAATAAATTATAAATTTTTTAAAATGCAGGACTCGAATATTTTGTTTATTTGGACTTTTTTCGACTATTTTTAGAAAAGGTGATTTTTTTACGTATTTTCGTAAAATGCAAGCAAATTTTTCGACTTTTCTTCCAAATATTGCTAAAAAAATATCACTTTTTTCGGTATAAAATGCAAATTACTTTGATTTTTATTGTATACTCTCTAAATTTGAATTAGTAAAATTGTTTACTAATTTAAATTATTGACTGACTTTTTCCTTTTGAATTAGTAATGTTTACTACTAAAGTAATGTCAATTACTATTTACTAGTAAATTTTACTAATTCAAAAGCAAAAAGTCAGTCACTAAATCAAATTAGTAAACATTTTTACTAACTCAAATTTAGAGAGTACAAAATAACTAGTCAAATATTTAAAAAAAATTTTATTCATTGAAAATAATTGAATTTCTTTAGAGAATTTCATTAAAATTGTTGAAATCAATAACTAGTCGAATATTTAAAAACTTATTTTTGATTACTTGAAAATAATTAAATTTCTTTTAACAATTTCATTAAAATTTTTGAAATCAAATCAGTTGTTAATTTTAAATTTTCAAAATAATTGAATTGTCAAAAATTTTAATGAAAAATGAAAAGTAAAATTAATTTTAAAATAATTATATTAAGAAATTATATTTAAAAAGTAATTATTAGAATTTTTTAGTTATAGTCAGGTCAAAATTCAATTGTTTTCTATATTTTCAATTACATATTTCCGAAAATTCAAATATTTAGAAAAAATAATTCCATTAGAATTTTTTAATTCTAATTTTCTAGAATTATTATTAAAATTAAAAAAAAACAATTATTTTCAAAATTTTTAATTCAAAATTCTTCAAAAAGTTGATTAGTTTTTTAATTGTCTAAAAATTTTTTTTAAGAAATTCAATTATTTTCGATATACCTACATTACAAATATCTACAAAAAAGTAAATTAAAATTTAAAGAAAATGTTCTTTCTTAGATTTATCATTAAAAAATTTGAAAAAAAAAATGAATTTTCATATTTGTAATTACAATTCTTCAAAAAACTTCAGTTTTTCAGTTAAAAATTCTTGAAAATAATTAAATTTTGGAAGAATTACATTTTTAATTTTCACAAATAATTTAATTTCAAATTGTTTATCATTGAAATTCTGTAAATTTTCGATTCCTGTGGTATAATAAATGATTCTAAATATTTATAAAAATAAAATTATTGAACTTTTGGATAATAATTAAATTTTGGAATCAGTGAAAAGACAAGGAAATACAAGACTGAAATTTTTGTGACAATACAAAATAAAATAAACGAGTGTTTGGCCTTTTTTTAAATCTTTAATCGACTAAAGCGACTTCTTTTTGCCCCTCAAAGTCTGTAAATATTAAATTTAATAAGTTTATAAATTTTATGCAATAAATCATTTTTTGAAAGTATTTTTAATGAAAAATATTTCGTTTATTTGAACATTCAAAACTTTTGGATTATTTTTTATAAGGAAATAAAAGCAAAGAATTATTTGTTCATATTTGCAAAAATAATTTGAAATTCGAAAATTAATCGAAACGAATTTTCTCAGTTTCAGGCAATTATGGATCGTTTATTTCTCACATTCGAGAATATTTCCGTGGCAAATTTTGCCGAATTATCAGCATGTGTGTTCAGTTGGCTCGAGGAACATTGTAAACCACAGGTAAATTCTTTAATTTTTATTAATAGTGTTAAGTTTCTTAATTTAAGTCTTAGTTAAGTATTAACTAATTATTAGCCTAGTATTAATTTAGTATTAATTCAGAACTAGTTTAGAATTCAGTTTTAGTTTAGTATTCAGAATTAATTTAGTATTAATTCAGTAATAGTTTAGTATTAATTTTTAGTTTTAGTTTAGTATTCAGAATTAGTTTAGTATTAATTCAGTAATAGTTTAGCAGGCCTCGGATATTATAAAATTTTCGACTTTTTTCGACTATTTAAAAAAAATTCGACTTTTTTCGACTTATTTTTAAAAATTACGACTTTTTCGACTTTTTTTCTGAATATTGCAATAATTTTTAGTATAAAATGCAACTTATTTTCGAAATTTACAATTGAAAAGAGTTTCAATAAATATTGAAATTTTGTAAAATTTAATTAAAAATAATTGATTTTTTTAAAAGTGTTTTTTAAAAATTTTTGAAAATCAACATTTGAAGAATTTTAATCGCAAATTTTGAAAATAATTGAAATTAAATTCCTCGGAAGAATTTAATTTTTAAAACAATTTTTAATGTATTTCGAATAAATTCAATTATTTTCTAAAATCTTAATAAATCCTTTGAAACAATATTCAATTATTTTTATAAATGGTAAAATTCTTCGTAAGAATTCAATTATTTTTATAAATAGTAAAATTCTTTGCTGGAATTCAATTATTTTCAAAACATCTTTAATTGAATTTCTCGGAAGAATTCAAATATTTTTAAATATTTCCGTAAAATTCAATTATTTCCTAAAATTTTTTAATAATTTCTTCTAAACAATTCAACTATTTTTATAAATTACTAAATAAATTTTCAAAATTTACAATAAAAGAAGAGTTTCAATACTTGAAATTTTGTAAAATTAAATTGAAAATAATTGATTTTTTTCAAAGTGTTTGATAAAAATTTTTGAAAATAAACTTTAAAACAATTTTAATTGCCAATTTTGAAAATAATTGATGTCTTAAAAATTTTAATGAGAAATCTTCAAGAGTAAATTTAAAAATAGTAATTAATGAAAATTAGCTACAAAAAAATTATATAAAAATATTTTTGATAAAAATAATTCTTAGAATTTTTGCATTCTTTTGAAATTCAATTATTTTCAATCTTTTTAAATACAAAATTTCCAAAAATTCAAATACATACAAAAAATAATAACATTAAAATTTTTTACAATTATTTTTAACATTTCAACAACATATGACTTTTTTAGATCTATTAAAATTTTGGAGAAATCGCGTTTATATTAATAAATTAAAATTTTTTAAAAATTCAATTATTTTTTTAATAGAATTTACCAAATTTCAATTGTTTGGAAATTTTTCAATTCTATAAAATTGAAAAACTATTATCTTTCATAAATTATTTTTAAAATATTTTTGAAAAATTAATTTTAAGAATTTTTTTATTATAAAATTTTTTGAAAATTAATTAATAACTTAAAAAACATGGGACAGTTAGAATCATTATAAAGAACTGAATTTTTTGTATTTAAATAATAAATCTGTTTATTTGACAAAAATTAAGATCCTGAAAATATTCTAAGTTGTATTTAAATAATTGAATTCCCTAAGAACTTTCGGAAAATTATTAAAAATAATTGATTTCGAGAAGAAGTTTGATTAAAAATTGTAGAAAATAATTGAATTTCAAGAGAATTAAAGTTGTAATTTTTAGAAGTTATTAAATTTCAGAAGGTTTTAAATAGAACTTTTTAAAATTTTATTCCCGTATAAAAACAAACAAGAAGTATTTAAATATTTATTTAACGAAATTATTCAAGTTTTAAGTAATTAAATTTAGAAATCAGTGAAAGATTAGAAGAATAAAAAATAAAATTTTTGTGATGACACTGAATTAAATAAACGACTTTTTCGACTTTTTTTTCTATTTTAAATCGACTTTTTTTGCAGCTTAAAGTCGATCCGAGGCCTGGTTTAGTATTAATTTAGTAATAAAATAGTTTAGTATTAGTTTAGTATTAATTCAGTAATAGTTTAGAATTAGTTGAATAATATTAAGAAATATCAATAGGGAAACTAGAATAAAAATTCAAAGAATATAATTTACTTCTAGACTCTTCACGAGGTTGTTCTTTCCGTTTTACATCAATTGAACGACCAAATGAACTGCCAGACAGGTAATATTTGATCGAGGGATTGTGTCATAATAAAAATAGTCATAGAGCAGTTACCAACATAATTAAAATTTCTACCCAGCAGAACTTGGGCAGAGCAATAATAATAAATTTATTTTTTTATACATTCATTAACACGTGGATGTTATAAATTCTCCACTTTTATCGAATTTCCATATAGTGTACTTTATGACAAAGACGACATAAAATTTTTTATACAATTGCTGTCATATAGTGTGAGTGTGTGTATATATATATATGTAAATATATAACACGTTTTGTATAATTACGTATAATTACTTAAAAATACGTTTATATATATAAATAGTTTAGATTAGATAGGTTTATCTTTTAGAGAAAGAGATAATCCATTTTAATTTTTTTTTATTATTTACAAAAGAAAAAAAAATTGTTTATTTTATCGAGATTTATATTGTACGATTTATGCGGAATTAGAAAATTTTAAACTTTCTCAGATTCTGTGGCCATACTTTCCCCTTGTGTCAAATCATTCATTGCTATTGCGTCCGATAGATTTTGTTTATTACCACGAATACTTCTTTGCATGTTTGCTCTTCTTTTGAGTTGTTCATTTTGTTTACAACACAAATCACGAAATATGCAGGCGTAACAACTCAATAGGAGAGTCATCAGTGTTGCTCCTCCAATTGCTAAAATTACTATTAGTAAAATAGAAAGTTCGTCCTGCATCTGAAAGAGAAAAGAAAATTTTTTGATTATAAATTATTCTAATGTGGACTTTTAGTTAGATCATTTTTAGAGGAGTTAGAGGAATTTTATTCATTTTATTCATTTTATTCATTTTATTAATTTTATTTTAGTGACATTGCTTGTTATCCATTGTGGAAAAATATTGTTCTCTCGAATGCAAATCGATTGCAATAAATTTGCAATTTTATTAAATTTTATTGAACGTCGAACTTTTAGTTTTTAAATATTTTTTCTTATAATAGGAAAAAGGATTTTATTGAAAATAGTTGAATTATATTTTGATGAATATATAAAGGAATCTGTTATTATTTTCCCTTCTTCCATGGAAAATTGAATTTTAATTAATTTATTTTTTAATAATTTCATTGAATGAAATTTTTCCTTTTTTAGTCTTTTCACATTTTTCAAGTATAGTAGTTTCCTTATAAAACACAATTTTATAGTATTTCGAAAATTTTAACTTACATTTTAAGGGGAAATTTCTTCATCTCATGTTTCTTCGTTTAGTCGAGTATTTCTCATAACGATGAGTAGAATTTATCGTTTTGTTTTCTTCAAAAATTACACTAAAGTCGACGGTATAAATACGATATCTTTGTTTGTAGTAAAAAATACGTTTTGTTTAAATGTAACATTTTAAAAAAGAATATTTCGGAGAATATTTCAAAGAATATTTCAAAGAATATTTCAAAGAATTTTTCGAAGAATATTTCTACTAAACAGTGAAATTTCACGTTGAACGCCGCGAAAGTCGCGTGCAAACTGAGCGAGATTCGTCCTTCCGACAGGATATGATATTGGAATGCGCATATTCTCAAAAAGTATCAGTGTGTATATAGCTGTTGAATGCACGATGTTAGAACACTTACAAATATTCCATTGTTAGGGGGAATAAAAATTTTTATATTAAATCGTAAAAATTACTATATATACTTGAATGAAATTTATTATTCTCTCAATTGAAATGCACATTAAGATTGAAATTAAATTTCAATAACATTTGAAATGAAAATAAAAATACAATTTTTCTCTTTATACTTAAACTTGAAGGGAAACGCAATTTTTTTTTATTGATCAATATCATTTGAGAAGGATATTCGAAGGGAATTTTTTTCATTAGATTTTTTAAAATTGAGAGTTATATTATATCAAGTTTCATGTTGTGGAAAATAAAAGTAAAAATAACAACAACAAAAAAATGAAATTAAAAAACTAGTTAAAAAAGCTTTTTTTTAAAAAAATAATTTGTAAACATAAGAAATAAACTGATAAATTTTCAAATTGAAATATAAAGGACAATTTAATTTTAAATTAAAAGCTATAAATTTTTTACTTTATATTGAAAATCGATATTAATTTTACATAAATAAGTATATTGTGACGATTACTTAATTATTCATTATAAATTTTAATTATTTATAAAGATCGTAAAAAGTATTATGAATATTTAACGTACATGAAGTTATAAAAAACATATCATTAATTAATGTGAATTAATTTTAAAGGTGAAAAAAAAAACAAAGAAAATTTATCGAACTTTTTTACCGTTCAAAATTTTAAATTAAGAGGAGACCTTTATCTTTTCTTTCTTATCATCATTTCATTTACATGTTCCCTTTTTCTATGAAAATATTTTTCGGGTCAGAAAAAAGATCGAGATTGAGTATATTTATAAGTTATATATAATGTAAGATACTGAAATTGCGAAAGAGAAAAAAAATTGACGTTTTATTAAGATCGTTTCGTAGAGAAAATAATAACAATAATAAGAATAATAATATAATATTAAATTCATATGTATTATAATACCTAGGTATACAATTTTTTTATTATTATCAGAATTACAAAATAATAAAAAAGGGGAATATTATTATTATTATTATTATTATTATTACAGGCCTTGGATAATAATGATTTTTTCGACTTTTTTCAAAATCAAATTTTGAAGAATTTTAATTGTAAATTTTGAAAATAATTGAGTTCTCAAAAATTCTAATTTATTTTCGAAAAATTGTATTACATTTTTAAAAAAGTAGTTATTATAATAGAATTGTTTTATCATAATTTTTTAAGATTCAATTATCTTCGAGCAAAGTAAATTAAAATTTTTAAAAATTGACTGTTTTAGACTTATTAAAATTTTGGAGAAATCGTGTTCACATTTATAATTGAAATTCTTTACAAAATTCAATTTATTTTAAAAATATATTAGCAAATTTCAATTATTTTTAAAAGATATTAGAAAATTTCAAATATTTTTAAACAATTTTAACAAATTTCAATTATTTGAAAATTTTTCAATAAATTGTACATAATTGAAAAACTATTATTTTTCAAAAATTATTTAAATACACTAGCAACAATTCGCGCCCCTAATTATTTCTTACCTATTTTTAAAAATAAAATTAGCAATTTTAAAAATAATTATTTTCAAAAGTAATAAAATTCCTCTCATAAAATTCAAATATGTTTCAAAATTAAAAAAAAAAAATTCTCGTCAAAATCCCAATTATTTTTTTAAATAACAAAATTCTTCCCCAAAATTAAATTATTTTCAAAAATGACAATAAAATTCTTGTCCTAATTTCAATTATTTTCAAAAATAAAATGCATTTTTCTAATTTCAATGATTTTCAATATCTACTATTTTAATAAAATTTCCCAAAAAGAATTTAATTATTTAAAAAAAATTTAATAAAGTTGTAATGTACTCAAACATTTAATTAGTTTCATTATTATAAATAATAAAAATTTCACAGGGATTCTATTATTTACAATTATTTCATAAATTTCTTCGCAATATTTCAATTATTTACATAAATAATAAATTTTTTTTTAAGGAATTGAATTATTTTCTTAAAAAATAATTAAAAATTCATGTTTTATAATAATTCTTTTATAAGTTGTTTAATTTCAAAAAGGTTTGAATTTTTGAAATTTTTGAATATCCTAATTCCTGTGGAAAAATAATAATTAAATATTTATTTAAAAAAGAAATTATTGATGTTTTCGAATAATTTTACAATTAAAGAAATTCGTGAATAAATGTAACAGAACATTTTTTTGACTAAGATTTTTTTCTTTATTTTTTAAAAAAATTTTCTTTATTTTCAAAAAAACATTGAATTTTATTTAAGCAATTTTAATTCAGAAATAGAAATACCTATTGCAAATTATTTCCTTATGAAAATTCAGAATTTTCTACAAAAATATTAAGAAACGGGAATATGTAATATTTTTTCTCGCAAATAAAAGGAATCAGTTTGTGATATAATAAACAAAATTTATTTGTTAATAATTTTTTAAAAATTAAAAAAATTTTTAATTTTAAATATTATTTTATTATAAATCATGAAAAAATACCTGCATATTTTCGATTTGTCAAACAATATTTTTTAAAGAAAAAAAAAAACAAAAAACAAAAGCATACACAAAAAATAAATTCAAAGTGTGGACAGACAGAATGATAAAATTTATCTTTCATAAATTATTTAAATAGTACATTTTTAAAAAATTCTTTATTGTAATTTTTTTAAAATATTACACTTTAATAACTGAAAAAAAACATGGATAATGACAGTTAATTATCAAAAATTTAATTTTTTATTTAAATAATTGAATTCTTGAAGAACTTTTGAAAAATTATTAAAATTAATTGATTTAAAGATGAAGTTTAGTTAAAAATTGTAGAAAATAATTAAATTTTGGACGAGTTATAGTTGTAATTTTTAAAAATTATTAAATTTCAGAAGATTTTAAATTGAAATTTTTTAAGTTTTATTTTCCGTGGATTAACAAATCAGAAGTATTTATAGATATTTATTTAATAAAATTATTCAAGTTTTGAATAATTCGAGGCCTATTAATATTATTATTATTATTATTATTATTATTATTATTATTATTATTATTATTATTATTATTATTATTATTATTATTATTATTATTATTATTATTATTATTATTATTATTATTATTATTACTATAATTATTAATATTATTACTATTGTTATTATTATTTTTATAATATTTTACTAGCAAAAATTATTATAAATCTGTTTATAGGACTTAAATAATTTTTGTATCTAGTTAATAATTACTTAAAAAATTAGTATCGCTCATAATTATTGAGCGCTTTAATTCAGTAGAAATTTGAATCAAGTCAGATGATTTAAAGAAGTATCTTTTCACATTAAAGTATAAATTTACATTTTAGAAGGTAGAAGAATATAGTAAGTTTTTTCTTGATACATTGATTTAGTATATATCTAAATCCAGCTTTAAAATGAACACTATGATTTACAACATCTAACAAATGTCTTTCATTCTTCAAAGGGATACCCAAATTTGTCAAGGGGATTGCATGAATAATAGTGTATCATCATAAAAAATATTTTTTTAAATTTAGAACAAGCTGCTGCGTTGCCTCTGCATATTTTTTTTTCTTTTTTGATTAAAATTATTATCTTATTTGTAGTTAATTAAATATTATAATTCTTAATCTTATATTGATAGTTTTAACAAATAATGATTTATTTATTTATCAATTCATTATATTGTTTCTAGTAGAAGATTATGAAAGTATAGAGTATAAAAATATTGTTATATATCTTTATTTTATTCAAAGAATTGTCCCCAACAAAATTTAAAGTAAAAAGCGCTTTCTGGTTGGAATTTTTTTTTCAAGGCACATACTAATACCATTTATCTTTCTTGAGAGCCTTTAAGAAAGTAACGAGATTTGAAAAACGTTTTCACAATGTTTCATGATATTTTTTTGTCGCAAAGGCCAAATAATTATTAGAAAAATTCCTTTTTAGTTTTTTCTTTTAGTTTCGCTTATTGATGAATATAATAATAGTAATTGGGATGATAATAACAATAGTGATAATTTTGAAATAAAAATATTATTGAAACAACAATAGTAATAATATTGAAATAAAAATAGTAATAATGTTGAAACAAAAATAGTAATAATATTGAAATGACAAAGGAATAATATTGAAATAAAAATAGTGATAATATTGAAATGACAATAGCGATAATATTGAAGTGGCAATAGCAATAATATTGCAATAATACTCTATAAAGTGAAATGAATTTTTTTACACTATAATATTTAAATAATAGCAATACAAATATAATTTTCGCAGTGAGATCCAATAATGCCTTGTCTATTCTTGTCATCTGTTATTGATCATTAAATCGAAACCTTTGTCTCTGTGTAATAGAATATTTTCAATTATTCACGCTCTACTGAAATAAAATCTTTATCAATTTATCATTGTAGATGTTAAATTCAGAAAACTGGATTTTTTAAAACTATTTTCAATTTACATTTTAAATAGTTTTCTTTTACGTTTTTTTTTATAAATAAATTTCCAAAGATGTTCATAATTAATTTTTACATTCAAGTATTTGTAACGATGGGGAAATTGATATAATTTCTACACTGAAAAAAGTTTATTTCATTCAAATAATCAATCCAATTTTTATAAATCAATAAATCAAATATTTGATTCAATAAAAATTTTATTTAATTCTAAAAAATAGTTACTCATTTATAATCAAAAAAAATATTTACTTTATAATCAATTAAATTTTTGTAAATCAAATATTTAATTCACTGACAAATTTATTAATTCAAGATAAATAATTATTCGTCTACTATCAAAAAAAAAAAAAAAAATATTTACTATAATCAAATAATTTTTATTTAAATATTCGTTTTGCATTTGAATGTATTTGATTTTATTTCTGTTATATTTATTTTATTTTTTTATTTTATTATTTATTATTATTATTTATTTGATAAATAATATAGACAAGTAAAATCGGTTAATTGAAATAAAAAAAAAAAAAATTTTTTTTAATTTTCAAAAATTTTTTAATATTCTCGTCAAGATTTCCATTTTTTTTTGTAAATAATAAAATTATTCTTCTCCGATATTAAATTATTATCAAAAATTTTAATAAAATTCTTCTCAAAATTTCAATTATTTTCAAAAATTGTCCTCAATTGAGGAATTTAAATAAAATTCTTTGCAAAATTCAATTATTTTCATAAATAACAATATTCATCGTAGAAATTCCATTATCTTCCAAATTTTTTAAAATTATCCTTTAGATTTCAATTATCTTTTTATAAATAGCAAAATTTTTCCCCAAAATTCAACTATTTTCAAAAATTTTAATAGAATTCTTGGCAAAATTCAATCATTTTCATAAATAACAATAATCATCATAAAAGTTCAATTATTTTCAGAAATTTTTTTAAAATTTATTGTCAAGATTTCAATTATTTTTATAAATAGCAAAATTCTTCTCCAAAATTTTAATAAAAATTTTTTATTAAATAAATAAATTTTATAAATAAATTTTTTATAATTTTTTTTTTATTTTCAGAAATTTTAATAAAATTTTTGGCAAAATTCAATTATTTTCATAAATAACAATATTCATCATAAAAATTCAATTATTTTCAAAATTTTTTTTAAGAATTATCGTCAAGATTTCAATTATCTTTATAAATAATAAAATTCTTCTGAGAAAATTATATTCAAAAATTTTAATAACATTCTTGACAAAATTTTAATTATTTTCAAAATTTTTCTTTAATTCAATGACTTTTAATATCTACCATTTTAATTCAATTTTTCAAAAGAATTCAATTATTTAACAAAAAAAATGTTGATAAAATTCTATACCTAAACATTTAATTATTTTCATAAATAATAAAAATTTTACAGGAATTTAATTATTTTTACAAATTATTTTCATAAATTATTATTCAATTATTTTTATAAATAAGAACATTTTTTACAGGGATTCAATTATTTTCATAAATAATCAAACTCAATGCTGAATTTAAATTATTTTTAATACAATTTTAATGGAATTCATCGAGAAAAGTTATTATTCTTAAAAATTGTATTAAAATTTATCAAAGAAATTTAATTTTTTTGATAACCTTTGCTACTAATTATTTATTAGAATTTAAGTATTATTTTTAATACTTTTTTAATTAAATTTCTTTAAAGAATAAAATTATATTTTTAAAAATTTTAATGTAATTCTTTGCGTAACAATTCAATTTTTTTACAAATAATTTTAATAAAATTTCTTCGCAGAAATCAAATTATGTTTAAAGATTCACAAAATTTCAATTATCTTTATAAATAATAAAATTTTTCTCCAAAATTCAATTATTTTCAAAACTTTTAATAAAATTCTTGGCAAAATTTCAATTATTTTTAATACAAGTTTCATCAAATTTCTCAAAAAATGAAATTATTTTAAAAAATTTTATTAAAATTTGTCAAAAGAATTCAATTATTTAAAAGTTTGTTTATAAAAAATTATTTATGAAAATTCAATTTTTAAGAAACATTCAATTGTTTAATAAAATATTTATTTTTATAGTTAAATAATTGAATTCTTGTATAGAATTTTCTAATGAATATTGATTTAACTATGAATTTCAAATTAAAATCTTTGAAAATTTGAACTTTTCATACTTTTAATTAACAATTCTATAGAATTAATTTTTCTCAATAAGTTTAATGGAATTTTTTTTTTTAATTATTTGAATTTTTTAATTTCTAATATATTTAATTGAAGAATGTCAGAATTATCGAAATTTCGTAAAATTAAATTATAAACAAAAGAATTTGAAAATTTACAAAGAACTTTTTAAAAAATTATAAATAAAATTGACTTAATGAAGAATTTTAGTTGAAAATTCTAGAAATAAATAATCGTAATGATGAAAATAATTTTTGAAGAGGTTACAGTAACAAAGCAGAAAAGTTTTATAATAATATTCTTATATTGTTAATGTTGTTTTCGAATAATTTTCGTTTTAAAAATCTTGAAAAGTTTTGTTTTTTAACCTGGAAAAGTCAGGGAATTTGAAAAGAGCAAAAGCGTGGCAACCCTGAAATTAATTTTTTTTCCAGTGCATAATTTTTCTCCATTCTACGAAAGTGTTTTTTAATGGTTTGTAATAAAATCCGCACAGAAGGTGTGATCCTAATATCCACAACATTAATTTATCGAACGTTAAAAAAGAAATTCTTGTTTTCGTTTCTTTTTTTCAAAGTAGAGCAAAATTGATTTTTCTGACTCGAATTATTCCTTTCTTCTTCCTTGAATGAGGAAGTAATAAATTGAACTTGTAAATTCGAGTTATTTTAATTATTATTCTATTTTTCGACTTTTATTTTATTTTTACTTATTTAGAATTATTTAGTGACTTATTTAGTTGCAGATTTAGATTGCAGTGATTGCAATAATTTCGTTTATTGGTTTTTTTTCTACTCGAAAAGTATAGTGAAGCTCATCTGAAAATGATGATAATAATTATTATGTATTGAAGTGTGTAATATCGTCAGAGTTGCTAATTTCATAACAGGATTTCGGATATTTACGTAATCATTCAATTAATGCGGTTTAATAGAATTTACCAGGAAAGATACTAACTGTGTAACACAGCGCTTGATGCTCCATCGGGCGCATTTATTGGGTCTGGTCTAACAAGTGCCTTGATATATTCAACAACTGAGTGAATTCCCCCCGGTGTTGGAAATAGATTGAAACCAGGAGGCAATACAGTTTGCTCCATAAACTCCATATATGGCTGTAAATTTTACTTTAATTAATATAAATTCAATCAATCATCTGCGAAAATTAATTACAATTCAAAATTATCGTTGTATTCAATTTTTAAATCTCACCTTTCGATTCTGTATATATATATATATAAATATTGTTGTTTCTTTTTCTGAAAATATTTTTTCTCTTTTTCTTCTTCTATTTCTTTTTTTTGAAATATTTTATTTCTGAAAATATTCTATTTCTAGAAATATATTCTATTTCTAAAAATATTCCATTTCTAGAAATATATTCTATTTCTAAAAATATATTCCTTATCGTTTCATTAAATTTTCTAATTCTTTTGTAAACATTTTATATGTTTTTCAGTATATTTTTTTCACGCTATATAGAAATAGTTTTTTTTTTTATTTTTAATTTATCAAGTACCTCCTTTCTATATCAAAAGTCCAATCGACTCGAATATTTTCCGTCACTCAATATAGTGAATGTATTTGCCATGCAAGCAATCAACATATTCAGTACAACAATATCAGAAATAAACACGAAAGCTGAAATATAAAATATATTCCGAAATATAGTGACAAAGAAGTTTTTTTTATGTAATGAAAGATAGAAAAATAAAAAATTAAATAATTATTGTCAAAAGAAAGAAATATTATATCTTTGAAGAAAAAGATAAAAGTATATATATCTAAATAAAACTATATTGACAATTGTTTTATTTTCTCGATTCGCTTCAAAGATTTTCTGTAATCACATCAGCACTCTCGATGGCACTCAGACAAAAAATAGATGAAAAAAACAATGTTTTCAATGTGAACATGAAACCAACGAATGAATCGACTTGCTGCACTTTTATTTTTCAATACCATTTTTCCTTTATAGTATTATTGATATAGAATTTCGCCGAGCCTGAAATATTGTCGAAAATTAAATTTCATTATTTGGGGAAAATTTTATGAATTACAAGTATAATGAAATTAAAATAATGTTTTATACTACAAGAAATAGGTGTTTTCGTTTTTAGGGTTTTAAGACGCATTTTTTAGGTCTTATTTACAATAGTAAATATAGGGGGGCATTCTCCGTCAGATTTTCACTCAAAATTTTTTTTGTATTAAAACAATTTTTTTCGAATTTTATATGAAAAATAAGTAATTACGTGTTTTTTTATTTTTTTATTTCATCAAAATTATAAAAGTTATGATTTTTTTAAATTTAACATCTTCGTAAGCAAAGGATTTTTTAATCACTTTTAACTCCGTTATACCAAAAGATAAAAAATAATGTAATATATGAAAATGACTTGTTTTTTCTTGAATATTTCAAATATGTAATAAAAAATAACTTTAATAAAGCGAAAACATTAAATAAATTGAAATTTCGTCTAACATGTGACTTTTCTCAAAAGCGAAGTAATCGATTTTCGATTTTTTTCTTTCATTACAACCACTGATAAATAAAGAAATTTTTCCCACTTATGCCAAAGTAGTGTTCTTTAGGGATCAAATTATATTTTAAATTATATCAGTCGTTGCACAGATTTTACAGAAGGAAATTAAGAAATTAACTACAAAACATTCGTTTTCTTTTGTTTTTGAAGGTTAAATTTTTAAAAAGTGTAAAAATCGAATAAAACTCTGTGCAACTACTGACATAATTTTAAATATAATTTGAACCCTAAAGAACACCACTTTGGCATAAGTGGGAAAAATTTCTATATTTATCAGTGGTTGAAATGGAAGAAAAAAATCGAAAATCAATTACTTCGCTTTTGAGAAAAGTCACATTTTTGCCGAAATTTCAATTTATTTAATGTTCTCGCTTTATTAAAGTTATTTTTTATTACATATTTGAAATATTCAAGAAAAAACAAGTCATTTTCATATATTACATTATTTTTTATCTTTTGGTATAACGGAGTTAAAAGTGTTAGAAAAATCCTTTGCTTCTGAAGATGTTAAATTTAAAAAAATCATAACTTTTATAATTTTGATCAAATAAAAAAATAAAAAAACACGTATTTACTTATTTTTTATATAGAATTCGAAAAAAATTGTTTTAATCCAAAAAAAATTTTGAGTGAAAATCTGACGGAGAACGGCCCCATAGGGGCCGTTCATAAACTACGTCACGCCTTAGAGGGGGGGGGGGGTGGAATTAATTTTTTGTGACGTTCTGTAGAAAAAATGGCGCTAAAGCATGTAAAATTTGTGACGAGGGTAGGGGGGGGGGTGGAAAAATTATGCAAAATAGTGTGACGTAGTTTATGGACGGCCCCATAGGTAAAATGCGTACATTTCCTTAATTGGTTAAAATTATTTTTCCATAGGAATTAAGATTTTTAAAAATTTCAAATAATTTAAACCATTTTGAAATGCAAGAAATTATAAAAATTATATAATAAAAAATGAAGATATCGATCACTCCGATTCTTTGACTCGAAGTGCTCGATTTCTTCATATTTTATAATAATTAAAAATGACCGAGCGATAAAATAATTATTTTATATTAACTGCAACTTCTTCAAAATTATTTTCATCATTTCAATTCAATTCTTATTTTCTAGACTTTTTAACTAAAATTCTTCTTTAAATCAATTATTTTTAATAATTTTTCAAAAAGTTCTTATTCAGAATTTTTGAATCCATTTGTTTGGAATTCAATTTCACCAAAAATTACAATTATTCGGAAATTCTTCAATTAAATTTGTATTAGAAAATAAAAATTTCAGATAATTTTAAAAAAATCCAATTAACCTTTTTAAAAAAAAATTAATTCTACAGAATTGTTAGTTAAAAGTATGAAAAATTCAGATTATCAAAGGTTTTAATTTGAAACCTTTTCGAAATTCAATTATTTCTAAAAATTCATGCTATCATGGCTTTAATATTCAATTATCTAAATTAACTAAAATTAATTTCTAAATCAATTTTGTTTGAAAATTCTACACGAGAATTTAATTATTTAAATCCAAAAATAATTTATTTATTAAATAACTGAGTTTCCTAAAATTGAATCCTCATAAAGAATTTTATCAACAAATTTTTAAATAATTAAATTCTTTCGACGAATTTCAATAACATTTTTAAGAATAATTACATTTTTCGAGGAATTGCGGACAAAATTTTATTGTATTAGAAATAATTAAAATTCTGTGATGAGTTTTATTATTTATGAAAATAATTAAATTCTGAAAAAGAATTTTATTATTTATGCAAATAATTGAATCTCGGTAAAAAATCTTATTATTTATGGAAATAATAGAATTACTTTAAGAAGGTTCATAAAAAAATTGAAGAAAATAATTGAATTCCTGTAAAATTTTTATTATTTTGCAAATAATTAAATGTTTGCGAAGAATTCTATCAACATTTTTTGTTAAATAAATGAATACTTTTGGAAAATTTAATTAAAATAGTAGATATTGAAAATCATTGAATTGAGGAAAAATTTTGAAAATAATTGAAATTTTATCAAGAATGTTATTAAAATTATTTAAAATAATTAAATTTCTGAGAAGAATTTTATTTTTTACAAAGATAATTGAAATCTTGACGATAATTCTTAAAAAAATTTTGAAAATAATTAAAATTTTATTGTGAATATTGTTATTTATGAAAATAATTGACTTTTGCCAAGAATTTTATTAAAATTTTTGAAAATAATTGAATTTTGGAGAAGAATATTGCTATTTGTAAAGATAATTGAAATCTTGATGATAATTTTATAAAAAGTTCTGAAAATAATTGAATTCTTATATGATCATTATTGTTATTTATGAAAATAATAGAATTTTGGGGAAAAATTTTGCTCTTTATAAAATGATAATTATAATCTTGAGGATAATTTAAAAAAATTTTTTAAGATTTTTGAATTTCTACGATGAATATTGTTATTTATGGAAATAATTGAATTTTGCAAAGAATTTTATTAAAATTTTTGAAAATAATATAATTTTGGAGAAGATTTTTGTTATTTATAAAGATAATTGAAATCTTGACAATAAGTTGAAAAAGAATTCTGAAAATAATTGAATTCTTATGATGATTATTGTTATTTATTAAAATATTTGAATTTTGGAGAAGAATTTTGCTATTTATAAAAAAAATAATTTAAATCTCTTGAGGAAGAATTTTATTAAAATTTTTGAAAATAATTGAATATTGGAGAAGATTTTTATTATTTATAAGGATAATTGGAATCTTGACGATAATTCTTAAAAAATTTTTGAAAGTAATTAAATTTTTACGATAAATATTGTTATTTATGAAAATAATTGAATTTGGCAAAGAGTTTTATTAAAATTCCTGAATTGAGGACAATTTTTGAAAGTAATTGAATTTTGCCAATAATTTTATTAAAATTTTTGAAAATAATTGAATATTGGAGAAGAATTTTATGATTTACAAAGAAAATTGAAATCTTGACGAGAATTTAAAAAAATTTTTGAACATAATTGTATTGTTGCCAAGAATTTTACTACTTTTGAAAATAATTGAATTTCTGCAATCATTTATAATTGTTTCAAAATTCAATTTGTTTTAGTGTTTTTAACTAAAATTCTTCTATAAATCCATTATTTTTAATAATTTAATTAAGTATATGTTAAGAAATTATCTAATTTCAGTAGAATTTGAATTACTAAAATTTTTCGAAACTAAAGGGAGAGTATTACGGTATAGAGAGTATAAAGGGTATATTTTAAATTGAGTTTAATAAGAATTAAAATATATAGAGTTAAAAAAAAAATAAAAAATTAATAAAGTGAGAAAGAAAAAGTGAGTATACCAATAATCGAAGAAGCCATTATGATTGTGGGGAAAACAACCATATAAATTTGGCAATTGGTCGCAGTGAGTATTTTCTCTCAGATATCCGCAAAGTGATAGCCGCAAAGAGTAATTTAAAAAAACCATGTTAGTGGCGGTACGGAAAATTCTTCCTCCTCTACTATCGGGGTTGGATTAAATTCGTAGTGCCAATACTTTCTCCGCAGTTGACAATGGCTATTTATTTGCACGTCCATTTCAGAAAGCAATCCAAAAGGCCAAAATAAAAGTAGGACCAAGCGACAATTCATACCTGCATTTTGTTGAAAACATTATTTTTGTTCCTTTTTACTTTGAGTGTTTTTGTGATTAAATTTTCCTTTTAATTTAAAATTCATTTTACCAATTTCTAGGCGCTCGCGGAAAAAAATGCTTTGAACCCATAGTATATTCATATACACAATCGAAATGCTGACAACGCACACACAGGACATACAACGAATGCGGCTAATGCGGTTCCATAAACTGAAACATTTTTCGGACACTTTAATTAACAGGTAAGAAGATTCTAAATTAAATTTATATTTTTTCAAATCTTCATCTGAAGGTCCTTCTTTTATAAACCTTGAAAAGACATGGAAAAGTCAGGGGATTTTTATCGAAATCCTGGAAAATTGTTGTTTTCTAAAGTTATTATGTTTATTCTTGAAATTCAATTTTTCTAAAATATTTCAAAATTAATTCAATTTTAAAAGAATTGCGTTTACAATTTTCATAAGTAGGTGAACTTCAAATGATTTTGATTTAAAATTTTGCAAAATTTCAATTTTAAATAAATTTAATTAGAAATATAAAAAAACTTAGATTTAAAAAAAATGTTTAAAATTAAAATTCTTCTGAAATTAGTTAAATTTTTTAATATATATTTAATTAATTATTAAAAGTAATGGATTTATAGAAGAATTTTAGTTAAAAACACTAAAACAAATTGAATTTTGAAACAATTATAAATGATTGCAGAAATTCAATTATTTTCAAAAGTAGTAAAATTCTTGGCAAAAATTTAATTATGTTCAAAAATTTTTTTTAATTCTCGTCAAGATTTCAATTTTCTTTGTAAATAATAAAATAAATTCTTCTCTGATTTTCAATTATTTTCAAAAATTTTAATAAAATTCTTGGCAAAATTTAATGTAACAATATTCATTGTAGAAATTCAATAATCTTAAAATTTTTATTAAAATTATCGTCATGATTTAAATTATCTTTATAAATAGCAAAATTTTTCCCTAAAATTCAACCTTATTTTCAAAAATATTAATAGAATTCTTGGCAAAATTCAATTATTTTCATAAATAACAATAATCATGAAAAGAATTCAATTATTTTCAGAAATTTTTTTAAAATTATCGTCATGATTTCAATTATCTTTATAAATAGCGAAATTCTTCTTCAAAATTCAATTATTTTCAAAAATTTTTTTATGAATTATCGTCAAGATTTCATTTATCTTTATAAATAATAAAATTCTTGTCAAAATTCAATTATTTTCATAAATTTTAATAACATCCTTGACAAATTTTCAATTATTTTCAAAATTTTTCCTCAATTCAATGATTTTTAATATCTACTATTATTTTAATTAAATTTTCCAAAAAATTCAATTATTTAACAAAAAATGTTGATAGAATTCTTCGCAAACATTTAATTATTTGCATGAATAATAAAATTTTTACAGGAATTCAATTATTTTTACAGATTATTTTCATAAATTAATATTCAATTATTTTCATAAATAATAAAATTTTTTACAGCGATTCAATTATTTTCATAAATAATAAAACCTAATGCTGAATTTCAATTATTTTTAATACAATTTTTATTAAATTTCTCTAAAAATGCCATTATTCTTAAAAATGGTATTAATTTCTCAAGAGAATTCAATTATTTAAAAATTTGTTGATAAAATTCTTTATGAAAATTCAATTTTAAGAAACATTCAATTTTTTAACAAAATATTTATTTTTAATAGGTAAATAATTGAATTCTCGTAGAATTTTCTAATAAATATTGATTTAAAAATGAATTTTAAATTAAAATCTTTGAAAATTTGAACTTATCAAACTTTTAATTAAGAATTCTCTAGGATTAATTTTTCTCAATAAGTTTAATGGAATTTTTTTTAATTATTTGAAGTTTTGAATTTCTAATATATTTAATTGAAGAATGTCAGAATAATCGAAATTTCGTAAAATTAAATTGTAAACAAAAGAATTTAAAAATTCATAAAGAACTTTTTTAAAAATTATTATAAAAAATTGACTTAAAGAAGAATTTTAGTTGAAAATTCTACAAATGAATAATCGTAATGATAAATTATTTTTAAAGAAGTTACAGTAAGTCAGGGAATTGGAAAAAAGCAAAAGCGTGGCAACCCTTCATTAATAACCTGAAGTCGGTATAAATTTGAATTTTGTTTATTAAAATATTTTTTTAACATACCTAAAAAGTTGAAATTATAATTAAATACTGAAGTCAACGATCACTTCGAGTCGCAGGATCCTGACTCGGAGTGATCGTGGACTTCAGTATTTAATTAATTTGATAACCGCGAGTGATAAATTTGTTTATATTATTAAAATTCAAATTAATTACCTGATGGATTTTCGGATGAGGGTAACAAACGTCTTTTATTCATTGCGAATAGTAGGCGAGACGAAATAGGTTGGAAAACGCATAAACCACAATTTTGTTTTAAAATAACTTCTACTTCCCGGACACGATGCGACATAACGTCCCACCAATTCTGTTCCAAACTGATTAACTTTCTCTACAAACACATACAACTTTATTAAAAAAAGGGAAATTCTAAATTTTTAAATTAGGAAAATGTTCCGAAATAGTATTTTTTTTTACATAGAAACAAATTTATCTAAATTGAGAATTGCGAAAATTTCTATTGATTTGTTTAAATTTTAATAGGAATTACATATTAACATTAAGAAATTACCTTTTGTGGGGAAATATTCCTTTTGAAAATAGCCAGAGGCTAGTTTTCAGATATGTAATAAAAAGCTTCAAGAGTAGAATTGTCGGACGTCTGACAAATAAATGCTGGATTTGTCACAGCTTCATATATATATAAAGAAAACCTCATTTTTTCCACTGTCAGAGGGTCGTCGTCGTTGCTTCTTTGACTCCTGTAAAAGCGACACATTATTTTCTCTCTCACATTGATGTATCATGTGTGTAATAATAACATAGGAAAATGTAAATTTTAAATTTTTGAAATAAAAATAGAAATATTAATTACAGGGTTGCGACAGGTCAGGAAAGTCAGGGAAAAGTCAGGGATTTTTATTAAAAGTACTGGAAAAAATTTAATTTTTAGAAGTCAAAAGAAAATTCTGAATTTTGGTAACTAATTTTGTTTCCTCATAAACTACGAAATCACCAAGAATTCTAATTCAGAAACTACAATCTTTTCTATTGCTGACAATAATTTCTAGTTAAATAACTTAATTCTTGTCCGATATTAAATTATTTTCAAAAATTTTTAAAAAATTCTTGGCAAAATTTCAATTATTTTCAAAAATTGTCCTCAATTCAGGAATTTTCATAAAATTCTTTGAAAAATTCAATTATTTTCATAAATAACAATATTCATCGTAGAAATTTAATTATCTTCAAAAATTTTTTTAAATCATCCTCAATAATTCAATTTTCTTTATAATTAGCAAAATTCTTCTCCAAAATTCAATTATTTTTAAACATTTGAATAGAATTCTTGGCTAAATTCAATTATTTTCATAAATAACAATAATCATCATAAGAGTTCAATTATTTTCAAATTTTTTTTTAGAATTATTGTCAAGATTTCAATTATCTTTATATAAATAATAAAATTCTTCTCCGACATTTAATTATAATTTCAAAAATTTTAATAAAAAATTTCGATTATTTTCAAAATTTTTCCTCAATTCAATGACTTTCAATATCTACTATTTTTATTTAAATTTTACAGAAGAATTCAATTATTTGACAAAAAAATGTTGGTAAAATTCTACCCAAACATTTAATTATTTTCATAACTAATACAAATTTTACAGGAATTCAATTATTTACAATTTGTTTATTAATTTTTTCACAGCAAATTTATTATTTTCATAAATAATAAGATTTTTTACAGAGATTCAATTATTTACATAAAAAATAAAATTCTTTTTAAGAATTTAATTATTGTCATAAATAATAGAACTCATTACAGAATTTCAATTATTTTTAATACAATTTTAAATGAATTCCTCGAAAAATGTTATTGAAATTCGTCGAAAGAATTTAATTATTTAAAAATTTGTCGATGAAATTCTTTATGAGAATTCAATTTTAGGAAACTTAATTATTCAATAAATAAATTATTTTTGAATTTAAATAATGAAATTTTCGTACAATTTTCAAACAAAAATTGATTTAGAAATGCATTTTAGTTAATTTAGATAATTGAATATTAAAGCCATGATAGCATGAATTTTTAGAAATAATTGAATTTCGAAAAGGTTTCAAATTAAAATTTTTGAAAATCTGAATTTTTCATACTTTTAACTAACGATTCTCTAGAATTAATTTTTTTTTTGAAAAAGTTTGATTCAATTTTTTAAAAATTATTTGTAGTTTTTATTTTCTAATATAAATTTAATTGAAGAATTTCCGAATAATCGAAACTTTTGTTAAAATATAATTGCAAACAAATGGATTTTAAAATTCTCAAAGAACTTTTTTATAAATTATTAAAAATAATTGATTTAATGAAGAAGTTTAGTTAAAAATTCTAGAAAATAAGAATTTAATTGAAATGATGAAAATAATTTTAAAGAAGTTACAGAAACAATATTCTTGTAATATTTTGAAAATTTTAATTCTTATGGATAAATAATAATGGTTAAATATTTATTTTAAATAAAGCTATTCATGGTTTCGAATAATTTTACAACTATTTGGAGAGTGAATCAAAATACTCTTTAGGGTCAGGGAAAAATACAAAATTTTGTCTGGAAATCAGGGAAAAACAAAATTTAATTTTTGTGGTAACCCTGAATTAATATTTATTATTATTTAATATTTGAATTGAATTTTTTTTTTTAAACAAATTTCAACTTTTTCTAAATATTGAAATTTTACTTTTTAATCTTTTAAAATATTGAAATTTTACTTTTTACTCTTTTTAAATATTGAAAGTTTATTTTTTAGTCTTTTTGAAATTACTTCGAGTTTGAATCTTACCGCGCAGAGTAGACGCATGCGCGAACTGACGTCACAGCAATGGCGTCAGTCAGAAACAAGTCGCATGGCGTTGCAGTCTCCGCAAGTACGTCGTCGTTTTTCCAAGTGAAAAAATTAATTCTCTTATGAAAATATCGAATTAATTGCAACGTGATCAATTACTGCAGGGTCTTCAAACGTAAGTACATCTTCAATTGAATTAATAACCAGTTGTTTTATTTCCGAACTTTTCGAAAAAAGTTGAAAACATAACCTATTTTCGAATATTATTTTTTTTTCGTGTGTTTTATACAGATCGTTAAAACTGTATTCCAACTGCGATTGTAAGAGGAATACTACTCGGAAGAGGACAATTCGTTCAAATTAGGAGTTTTTTTTGAAACTATAATTATTATCTTGATGGGAGAAAAATGGGAGGAATTCACTACAGAAGATAATTTTGCTGCAATAAGAAAGGGGTATGTATTTATATAAAAATATTAATTTCCGAAGTTTCAATTCAACGTTTTAATAAATTGGCAATAATTTTAAAATGTAGCGTCGGTTCATCCGAAAAGTCGGAGCTTTAATGCCAACATGCTCTAAATCCGGTGATATTTTGTTTCAATTTATTTAATATCAACGCTATTTTTTGTTCACTCTGTTTAATTGCAGTCTTGTCTCTGTTTTACGTTAATTCACAGTTTTTCTGCAGATATCAAATTGAGAGAAAAAATGTATCAAAACGTTGCTACGTTTTGATCCATTTTTTCTCTCAATTTGATATTCTTAAAAAAACTGTGAATTTCTATCAAGTCCCGCTAGATGTAGTATGCCGTTATAGACCCTAAAAAAAAATATTATTTTCACCGAAAATAGAAATTTAAGTGTTAAATATTTTTCATTACACTTTATATGACGAGTTGTAAACTTTTTGTTGCAAACTAATACCAAATAGAGATTTGGTAACGGTATAAATTTAACCATATTTTCTCGGGACAATTTTCCCTCTGTTACTTTTTGCCATATAAAATGTATAGTGTCCTTAAATATTCTCCTATAAAAAGAAACATAAAGTCGCGTGTCTAGTGCGGCATAGATGAATGAAACTCCTCTTCTTTCATTAGAGTCATATTAAAATTGAATAAATATATAGAAAGTTGTATATATTATATAAGATTCATGAAAATTAATCTCCCTTTGAGACATAAATTTTAAAAGTAGCACCATTTTTTAATTAAATATGCAAATCGTAAACTGAATTTCAAGGAAGAATGAACCTTCATCGAATTTTAAAATTGCTACTGGTAAGATAGAGAGAGAGAGAGACGGATGTCTCAAGCCTATATTTCTTTTTGGTATATCCGGTAGAAAAATAGACCTAGGTGTGTCTATTGGGAAAAGACATCGCCATCGAGGTCATCGAATGGATATCGATCAGCGAGATCTCGCTGGAGCTTTTTTTTTCTAAACCAATATGTAGTGTTGTTGGAAAAAAAAATTATACACAACACACACATATAAATACCAGCCGATAAACGCGATTTCCATCCAAAATATGTCCTGCTGAGGGACGCGTGTATCCATTTGTCGGTCTCGATTTATGTCTACAAAAGTGAAGCTCAGCATGCTGAGACCTGCACAGTATAAATGAAAAGACACCTTTAGTGGTTTATATGCTACTTAAACTTGAACCTTTTACTCCTACAATCGAGCCAACCGCATATATGTGTGGCAGAGGAAAAGCCAATGTTTTCTAAATAGCCAACTAGCAGCTGAAATAACATTTATACGGGAAAAGTGCTTGCCTTCAAATTTATAGAATGTAGTTTGACTTTAAATCTCTACGAAACTAGTGCTGTAAATAAATATACAATGTATTTATGTTTAGGTTGTCGTTTGTATAGAAACATGGAATCCATCGAAATTCTCCGCCTGAAATCCGATTTGTTGAGATTCCAATTGCCTTTGCTATTCTTCAGCTTCTTCGGGTAAGAATTATTAAAAATGTATTACTTTAGAATATATTTATTTTTATTAAATATTTCTGCGTACAGTATTAGAAATTTACCACTAATACTACTGGAATTTATATAAATGTTGTTTAAATGATTATTGCGCGATTCCCTACAGAACATAACCTCTCAGGGTGGTCACATATTTCAATTTATCAATTTTCCTGACAATTTCCTGCCATTAAAATTACTTTCCCTAACAAAATTCTTTTTACATTAGGAAAATATTAATGTTTACGGAAAATGAGTAAAATTTATGAATTTTAATAATTTCGAAAAATTACAATTATAATCCTTCCTGAATTTAATTATTTTCTACAATTTTCAACTAAACTTCATCTCTGAATCAATTAATTTAAATAATCTTCCAAAAGTTCATCTAGAATTCAATTATTTAAATACATAAACTCAGTTTTTTATAATAATTGTGACTCTCTATAGTTTTTCTTAAGTTATTAAGGGCATTTGAACCATGATGACGTCACAGCCTTAAAACACTTGCTTTGCAGAACCTATGACGTCATAATGGTTCAAATGCCCTTAAGGTATAATATTTTCAAAAAATTATAACAAAGAAATTCTTATAATTAATTTTTTAAAAATATGTTGTCGTGTTAAACACTAGCGCACTCTGTAGGGGAAGCGCTGCAACTCATAGATAGATCCGCCATTTGCAATTTCACTCACAGTGTGCGACGTGCGTGTGCGACTAATATTAAAAGGGTTGAAAGTTTTACAATTACATTTCGGCAATTTTCTCAGTTCCTACCTATATTACTAAAAATTCGCAGTGTATATTAAAAAAATCTGAAACAAAAGTGACAAAAGATAATTACAATTCTAAGTAATACTGTTAACTTTATGTGATTCACAGGAAATCGAGGTTAGGATTCCTGGACGTAACAATAAGAATTAGAACTTCAGCTGTACTTGTTCGACATATTCTCAAAGTTTAGTGAAACTTTGTTTGCGATGAATAACAATTGGTGAGTACAAATTTTAACCTAACCTTACTTCTATTTCCTTATTGATACTAAAGCATTTTTTACAATCTAGTATTCATATTTTTTTATTTCGTTTCATTATCTTTTTATTTTTTTTGTATTGGATACTAGCGCACTCTGTGGGGAAAACACTGCAACTTATACTTAGCTCCGCCATTTGCAATTTAAGTTACAGTGTGCGAATAATTTTGTACTAGTCTTCTTGACTTTACGTTTGGTCAATTCCTACAGTAGTTAATCTATATGTACAAAAAATAAATATCCCAGTAAATACATGAGAAATATATTTACATTTGAGAATAATCTGAAACAAAAGTGACACAAGATAATTACAATTCTAAGTAATAATGTTTTTTTATATGATTGGCAGGGAATCGAGGTTATGGTTCCTGGACGTAACAATGGGAGAATACAGAGTCATACTTGTTAAACGTATTCACAAAGTTTAATAAAATTTTGTTTTCCGACAAATATAACAATTGGTAAGTACAAACCTTAACCTAACCTTACTTTTTTCCTTTACTTAATTTATTTTCTTAATCTGAATTAGTAGAAAACCACCAATTAACAGTAAAACCGTAATCTAAACGAATTTTAATACATAACCTTCAATTTTTTCTTTTCAAAAATTTTAATAAAGTTGCTGGCAAAATTTCAAGTATTTTTAAAAATTTTCCTCAATTCAATGATTTTCAATATTTATACTATTTTAATGTTTTCCAAAAAGAATTTAATTGTTTAAAAAAATTTTATTACAATTCTACGCAAACATTTAATTATTTTTATAAATAAAAATTTCCCAGAAATTCAATTATTTACAAAAGAATTGTAATAAATTTTAAAAAATCAACTATTAAAAATTTTTTTTATAAAATTCTTCTTAATAATTCAATTATTTTCAATACAATTTTAATCGAATTTCTCGTTCAATTTTTTCAACGTTCAATTATTCAATAAATTATTTATTTCGCTGTTTTTAAATAATTTAATTCTCGTAAAATTTTAGGTAATAATTGAATATTAATCATTATAGCGTTAATTTTTAGAAATAATTGAATTTTGAAAGGCTTTCAAATTAAAATCTTTGAAAATGTAAATTTTTCTTACTTTTAACATACAATTCTGTAAAATTAATTTTTTAAAAAAGTTTAATTGAATTTTTTAAATATTATTTTAAGTTTTTATTTTCTAATATTTTTTTAATTGAAGAATTTACGAATAATCTAAATTTTTGGTAAAATTGAATTGTAAAAGGAATGGATTTGAAAATTCTCAATAAGAACTTTTTGAATAATTATTAAAAATAATTGATTTATAAAGAAGAATTTTTAATTAAAAATTCTAGAAAATCATAATTCAATTGAAATTATGAAAATAATTTTAAAGAAGTTACAGTAACAATATTCTCGTATATATAATACTTAAATAAAGTAAACTGAAAAAAAATTCATTTTATTTAAATTAACCGATTAATTCACTATTATCAATTAAATATTTTCTTGAATCAAATAATATTTATTGGAGTGAATTAAATGGTATTTGAACCAATAATTTCAGTATTTGAAGAAAATACCATTTAATTGACTCCAATAAATATTATTTGATTATTTGAAAACTTTATAAAAATTAATTATTTAAACAAATTAAAGCAATAAAAAATAAGATCAAAAACATCAATTATGGCGGGATTGAGTCAATTTCGGCGGGGATAATAACGTGTATTTGAGTTTACGTTGCGCGCCATAACTGGAGCACGTGCATTCATTGGAAATGTGCCAATTATGGCGCGGAGCAATTTTTGTTCTTAAATAATTAAATTAATAATTGGAGCACCCGCCATAATTGGCACACTTACCCTACGTAAAATTAATAAACACACAAAAATTTACGAATAAACATTTAACACTTATTTTTCAGGTTAATTTGCGTATAAAATCGCTATTATCAGCAGAAAATGGATCGAAAAATGTGAAGAGCAAGTGATATATTCGTATTCCTCTATGTGACGCAATTTTCTTTGAAGAATGAGACAAAACTTTTTGGACATTTGGAGTGATTCTTTCGGCGGTTCGAGTCAATTTTCAAAGGGCGTGCGCCATGGCACTATCTTTTCTAAATGGGACAAGGGCCTTTTGTCACCCACCGTGTGGGTCCCCATCACAAAAACCAAACTCGACAATAAACGCCCCAATGTCGGCATTGTCATTGACACAACAGCAGTCACAATATTCAAACGTCTACGTGATACACACTCTTCTGGCTTTTCGGCGAGTCTCTCTGGAGACTTAACGCAGTATCTATCTTCAGCATCCATGATATATGTAGGAGACCCTGCGGTTAACGGACCAGCTGTCGGACCAGCGCCTTCATCAATGAAATATCCCGCATACCATGTTGCATTTCAATGAAACATATATTTTCAAAGTGGGAATTTGCAAACACACACGCAGCCATTGAAAAATTTTCAATTTTAATACGTTTTTCAAGAAAAAAATGGCCAAAAAGATTTTATGTGTTTTTAAAATATACTTGTTCACAATAGAATACTCTCTAAACCTCCACTATTGGAAGGAGACACTTTATTACATTGTGTATTACAATGTTTAGATTCTATGTGTGATAATTTATTGGGGATGAGAAAGTAGAGATGCTAAACTGTATTTTATGTATTATATAATGGACGAAGTCTGAGGAAAGTTATACAAATTATTGGTCAGAAACGATTGTTGGAGATCTGGGCTATGTAAGGAGAAAGGGAGTGATGGAAATGGACTGAAATTGTTAATGAATTGTTGACATTGAAGTAACATGAAAGTAATGAAAATGACTGATGGAACCTTAACGAAGTTATGACAAATTAATTTGAGTTAATTTGTAATTCATAATTAATTGATATTTGAATGAATTTGACATGCAACTTAACATGACTAAAAACGAATTGCCATTAGCTGAAGAAATTGAACAACTTTTGCCTGGAAAATTAAAACAAGATGGACGTAAGACGTAACCTGAACTTGATTACCTACAAGATTTTCCTGAAAGTTAAATACGAGTTAACTTCATATTCAAATTGCCATTTAACCTAAAAGTGTGAACAACAATATATTGAAGAATGAATACTGAAGAAATGAGCCACAATTGCCTGGAAAATTGAAACAAGATCGACATAACCTAAAAGTGAATGCCTACAGGATTGCCTTGAATTGAAGTGTTTGAAAACAATTGCCTTGAAATTTTCGAGGCCACCAAGTGAAGAATAACGATGAGTAGAAGAAGAATAAGAAGATGTGTTTGGAAAATTCGCCTTCTTCGGAAATATTTTCAGACCACATGGACTTTTCTATACTTTATACCGTCGGGAGTGTTCGCATTCGAAAAGTAAACTTTTTAAAACTAATTTCGGAAGTATAAGTAATATCGTCGGGAATCGAAATTTTTTAAATCGCGGTAGAGAAATATGTAGTGAGTTTTTTTCAAATTGATAAGTGTTATCGACAGTTGTTAAATCGCGAGTGAGTGAGTGAGTTTTCTTCGTCTTCAAAACAAGAGCGACATATTGGATCCAGGAAATGAACATCGCGGTGAGCTATTTTCAATTATCATGATTATCATAGTTCTCTATAAACGAATAGAACGTTGATGAAGTTTATAACGTTCACAATCAACGATTTAGAACACAGTTTTCTTGACAGTATAAAATCAGGGTGGCGAGCTGACCGGGAAAAACCGCGAAATGACCGGGAATTTCTTGTGTTCTTTCTACTATTTGCTCTTTAAATTTGTTAAATATCCAAAAATGGTAATTTTTTAATTTCGCGAATGTAACTGTAGTTTAAAATAATTAATGACATAGTAAACTATAAAACTAAAAACTCGCCACCCTGAAAATTGATACTAAAGTAGATCAAATTGATGCTAAAAATTTGGATCAAGTTTTGATAAGATCTATATTTTTGGTATCACTTCGTTGCAACTT